TTCCTAATTTTGTAGTTATAATTTTTTATTATTTGTTTAACAGAATTTTGTAGTTATGGAGTAAGTGTGTATTTGTGACTGAACTACAACAACAATCAATAGGGATCTCCTATTCACTGTTAAAAATATTGTAACCAAAAAAAAAAAAATGTATATATATTGCAATTATAAAATATACTTTATAAAATGTGCCACCAAACACAACATGCTTTTTACACACTTATTTTGGTGAAACTCTATTAACAAAAAGTTTTTATTCATTAAGGCCCATTTTGTTTTTGTGTGATGACTGTGTCATTTTTTTTTTTTTTTCTTTTTTCGAGTTTATTTTATTTTATTTTCCTTTCTTTTTGCCTTAGGGTTGTGTGGACCCAAAGTAGGGCTAAATGTTCGGGAATAGCTCCCGACACTTCATGCATTACATTCTAGTACATTTTATCCTCACAACATGATTTAATTGTGTAGCACTTCCATGCTTCTTTTATTGCATTTTGTGGGGTTATTTGTGCTACTTCATTTTGGGAGCATTTTCATTTTTGGGGTCCTTTGTGTGATAAACTTTTTAAGAAATTTTTTTTGGAGCATTAGTGCGAATATCTTTTGAAGATATTTTGTGGAGGGACCTTTTTGCAAGTTGGAAAAGTTAGGACAAATGTTGTTTGTTGATTGAACTAAGTGTTGGAAGCTGGTTGGTGACACGTGGGAGGCTATAGGATGGTGACAAGTGGAAGGGTTAGATGGTGGTGTGTGAGAGAGGTAGTGCTAGGATATGTGCTATTGATATTGTCTAAGGTGAAACTCTAAGCATGATTTGATTATTGTACCTTGACATGTCAATTGCTCATGGAGACTATTATATTGAAAAACAAGTCATGACTAGTATTGAAGACTATAGTGCATAATGTGTGTGAACATTGAAACTTAAGTGTGCTTGTGAGGTGCATCATTTGGGTTGAAAGGTATATTTTATTTCGTGGATTTGGTTGACGATTTTTGGGAGATGCTTGGGACTATGGTACTGTGAGAATATGAGGGTTTGGCTCTCACGGGTGAGCACGGGCTCCCCAATTTATAGTGGCCACTTGGTTAGTTCCCGGCCGGTTAGTAAGCCAAAAATAACTATTATATTTTTCGGTGTGCATTTGTGTATAATATGGGGGGTGTGTGAGTCCAAGTCTTCCCATTGTTTGATTTTGAATTATATTTGCATGTTGACATACATGGTAGTGTAATTTGGGGTGAATTATATTGAGTACATATTTCTTGTCTTGCATATTTCGGAATGGATTCAATTGTTAGATTAGAAGGACTTGTAGAGATCCCCTTGGACTAAACGTTAGGTAGTATATTCTGTATTTGTGTGACTTGCATTATATTTGCGAGACCAAAGAAACTTAGTTTAACTTTATAATGCATCATCATATGGAGTAATGACAATTACTCACTCTTGTCGATTATTGTTTTTTAAGAAATGACGTGTTCTACTCGGATATAACACCCTTTTAGTGGATGCTACTTGCCTTATTTTGGGATATCTTATATGTAATGAGGTGTATAGGACCTTATGTAACCTTTGACATGTTGTCTATGTTTTATGTATAATTTTCCTTTTGAAGAGAGGAAATGGACCGAGAACTTGTTGATCTCTTTCATGAGTTCTCAAGTCATTCTCACTCTAGTGTTTTCTTTTGAATACTTATAAAGACATGTAATGAGGCCAAGAGCCACTTCCTTTCAATGTATGATCAAGGAACTTTTGTAACCTAATGGATGTTTGGGATTTATTTATGAAAATTTAGGGTGTTTTTATACATTTCCATGCTTTATTATTGCTTGGGATAGCCATTGAAGACCTCGGGATCATTTTGAGCAAGAGGGGAAAAATACCAAAAAATCCATTTTTTTAAAACTTGGCTCAAGTACTGTTCACAAGTAGCAAAACTTTATTACCAAGCGCTCGCAGGTCCATCTGAGCACTCGGACCTTACCAAGCCATGCAGGCGGCACTTCATTTGTGCGCACGGAAGGATGTTAGGACAATGTGCGAGTGCTCGCACAGTGTCCTTCAAGTGCTCGCTACCCTTGGGAAGGGTACACTTGGTTTCTTCATTTTATAACCCAATTTTGACCCATTTATTAACCTAGCATGCCTAGACTTGAGCAATGAGACTACAATACACCTCTTTAACGACATTGTCACATCTATACGACCATTTTATCCTTAGTTTCCTCTTCACGACCATATTAATCTTAATTCTTTATTTTGTCCGTTTATAATCTCAGCTTCCGCATTTTTAACTCGTTATCAAGTTGGCTTTCGGACCATTTCAGTTGATGAATTGAATAAGGGGATTTGGGGCGTCAAATTTTGGCATTTTGTTTTTACTAGAAACAGAACAAGTGTTTTGGTGTAGAGTGATTTTAATAGTAATCGGAAGTATGTTTAGTAATGTTCATTTGTTGCAAGATTTATTGAAGCAAAAATATGAAAACATGTCTCGTAAAAAAGTATTGAAAGTTTGAAAAATATAATGATAAGTTTAAAAATGTCATTTAAGATTTTTTACTGTTCATCACTACTGTACCCGTTACTACTATTATGAAACATGTAAAAACACCAAATTGGTGTTTTGATTTTGGACCACTATTCACAAAACATTTTAGCACTATGCAAAACAAAATATTTTTTACCAAATACGTTTTTTTTCCACGGTTCACTGCTATAGTTCCCGACAAAAACAAAAACACAAAAACACAAAAAAAATAAAATAAATAAACAACAACGTGTACCAAACAAATCCTAAACATCTAATATTTTCAAGAGATCTCCAGTAACAAGCATCACGAGTCTCTCCATAATTAACCACTTTTCTAATAGTAGATATTCGGTGTGCCCGATGCACCGAGCACATCAGAGCCTTTCGTGCACATGTGCAGACTTGTTTATTTTTTTTATTTCTATTTTGGAATGTCCTAAAAAAATATGTCCCATCCCAAAATTAGATATACTATTTTTTATAAAAATTTTCAAACTATCTTTTTAACTAAATAAATACACTAATTAGGAAATATTATTTTGTCTTTTAACAAGGGCATTTGAAATTTCCCTCTCATTAATATAATAAAGAATTATTAAAACTCTATTATTATAAAAGTTAAATTCTCACCAAACATGTATTTTAAGACTGAGAGAGCACATATTTTAATCATAGTTAAATATGGAGTGCGGATGCCCAGAGCTGTTGAGTTCCCAAGTAGATTATCTTCATAGCATTGCCTTACTTTTTAATTAAAACTCTCGTTAGAATAACAAAGTGGATTGTTGGTCTCAAAACTACTAACCTACACACTTACTCACACAAGCACTTCTCAGCTTGCGAATTCATCGCTATAAAACTCCTCATCCCCCGCAAAAAACAGAGAGAAAAGATGACGAGCCTTTCTCGCCGGAGAAGCGATGAGAATACATCCCGGTCGAGTTTTCCAGCGAAAGGGGCACATTTTTTCAAGATAATAGTTGACGATCAAAAAATGGTAAGCATAATTTCAATCTTCCTTCAGATATAAATTATACACAAATTCCATGTTCACATCACATCTGTATATAATTTTTTAGTCAGTGCTGTGCTGTTAACCGTACAGGATAAAAAGTTTGTAGTTTCAAAAAAGGGTTTAACTCCTTCATTTTTAATGTTTTACTAATTGTTAAAGGGGTTCATAACAAATTCAAAGTTAAAATCCAGCCCTACCATTTCATTTAAATGGTTTGATGTGTTTCACAGTATTAATCCAGATTTACTTTGTCGTTTTAAAGACTATTTCACAAAAAAAATTTTAATTTTTATTTATTTATTTAATTTTTACTATTTTACAAATCTTTCTGCTACTAGCGGTATTGGGGGGACTTTGCCCCCACCTACATTCCAGTGCAAAGCTCTCCCTCCACACGGATCAGATAAAGCTCGGGCTTTGACCTACGATTTTATGGAATTGTTTGCAATAAGGGGGTCAAACTTTAGACCTAATGCCCAACCAATTTGTCATAGCCCACATATAAATTGAGCTGAGAAGTGGGTTCTATACTTCTATTTGCTCAAATAATTAGCAAGCTCCAAAATGACCCACGATTTTGACTCTTTTATTTTCAAGGCAATCTCAAGCCAAGTTTGAGTAGTTTTGTTTTTGTATGTAGTTATCTGATGGTCTGGAACTTGCTAGTTGAATTCGAGCCTACAAATTTGAATTTATGTTCAACCTTTTCTTGTTCATCTCACAAGTGAGACAAATCAAGGTCAAGTAGCTTGATAATTTGTTTTAGTACCTTAACATTAATTGCGGATGATATATGTTTTCTTCATTAACCTTGTATAGTGATTAGAAGGAACAATGGTAATCCAAGGAATAAGCAAATGTAGTCTGCAATTATGTTCATGGCACTTTAATTAGCAGCATTTAGTGAAAGTACTTAATTTGATGTCACAATGATAGTGTAATACTTAATCTTTCTTTCTTTTATTTTTTTCTTTTTTTTTTCAATCCTTTTGCGGATGATATAATCAAGAACATATAACATTTTCATCATTTTTGTATCTTAGATTAATGGTAGGAGTGAGTTGCATGACGCTTTATCTTGGATTTATTTGTAGGATAATTTGTTTTAGGACATTAACATTAATTGCGGATGATATATGTTTAAAGTACCTTTCTTCATAGAACGAACAATGGTAATCCAAGGAATAAGCAAATGTAGTCTGCAATTATGTTCGTGGCACTTTAGCAGCATTTAGTGAAAGTACTTAATTTAATGTCACAATAATGTGTAATACTTATTTATTTTTTATTTTTCAATCCTTTTTATCTATCAATTATGTTCAAATTTAATTTGAGGTTTATTGCAGAGGATTCCGAAGAACTTTATAAGAAAAAATGGAAACAATCTGTCAAACCCTGTATTCCTCAAGGTTCCAGGTGGTGCTGTATGGACAGTATAATTGGTACATTCCGACGGGGATGTTTGGCTACAAAATGGTTGGCAAGAATTCAAAGTGTATTATTCTATAGGTCATGGACACTTATTGGTATTTAGGTACGATGGAAATTCTCACTTTCATGTTCTTATATTTGATCTGAGTGGGACGGAGATAGAATACCCATTTAGTGATATTCATGTTGAACAAACCAACAACAATGCGGGATACGAAATGCCCAATACAGATGGTATCGAGGTTGATGATTCTGATGAAATTTTGAATGATTTTCCAGCATGCCAGACAAGAGAAATTATAAGTAAGACATTTATTTCTAGTGTTGCTATATAATTTTTTCTTTACGATAAAATTATTATTTAATTTATCTTGATTGTCCTGCAGAAGAATGCATTGGAGGCATGGCTACCACACCAAGGCACCTCCATTCTAAAGCTCCTGAAGGAAGGCGAAGAGGCGGAAGAGCTTCTGCCGAAAAAGATATAGCCTTTCAAAGAGCCAAAGCTTATATCGGAAGATCCTTTCTTCATGGTCTTTATGCAACCATCTTATGTTAGAGCCAGATTCATTCTGGTAAGTCATCAATTGAGAATTTCATGAGCTACATCGTATATAATATGTTATCTTTAATAGACGTATGACATACCTTAGAAGAGAAAGTATGCTTCCAATTAAGAGTTAACATTGAACCTTTTCTTATCAAGACTAGAAAAGAGTTTGTATAAATTTAAATTTTTTTGCAGTGTGTACCATTGGTATTTGCCAGGAAATATTTTGCTGATAAGCAGGACATCGTGCTTCGAGTTTCTGATGGGAGAACATGGTCCGTTAAGTGCAATTTCAGTAAAACAAATGCAAAAATCTCTGGTGGTTGGCAATCATTTGTGGAGGACAACAATCTAAAAGTAGGTGATGTTTGTGTCTTTCAGCTGATTAACGGCATAGAACCTTCGCTGAAAGTCATCATATTTTGAGCAGTCGAATGTGGGAATTGTTGGCTGCTGCTGCAGGATTTGGTAATGTATTGACTTATAGAAGTCCATTTTGTGTTCATGAGATTGAGGAAGACAGCAACATTTTGTTTTGGCAAACTCGTTTGGTCTTTTTCCTGCTAGGTTTTGATCAAAATATGAATGTTTTGTTATTTCAATTCATTCGTTGTGAACTGGGATTGTTCAATTTCTAGTTAAATGATGATTGAACATCGACTAAACTTTTTTCCCTTCTTTAATCTCAAGATAATAAAGTCAAACATATGAAAATTTATGTCAAATTGACTAATATAGCAAGAAAGTAGGTAAAGCCTAGAATTTTGTTCAAGTTTTATATCCCTACATTTGGGATAACGACTTTAAAAGGCCTTATAACCAAAAAAAAAAATTTAAAATTAAATTATTTTTTTTTAATTTTTTTTTTTTAGTTTTGCAGGTCCATCTTCTAATAATTGTACAAGTACTTCTACAAGATATTAAAATCCAACAAAGGGAGGAATAATCATGTTGACGCAACTTATGTATTCAAAAGATAAAAACTCAACAAATACAATTATAAATTTATTGAATAGAAATATTATTGGTTCAAAAACAAATTCAAGTTTATTAGTATTATTCAAATTCGCCCCCACTAAATTAAATTTATCGTTGTGACCCGTTATCTAACATTGTGAAGCTAGAATGTAATGCTAAACCGGATTAGCCAAGATAAACCGGAGGAGGTAGCTGAAAAGCTGACCGAAATTGCCATCAGACATAAATGTTATTAATTAATAACTAATGAATATGAAGCACCAAAGATTAACGCTTCTGATCTCAATCTCACTCACTTATGGCGAGCAGTTCCCGCAGGCGAATTGACGACGGTTCACGCCGGTCAAGTGTTGGATCGAACGGACCACAGTTCTTCAAAATAATTCACAATGGCATAGCTGATGATCGAAAGTTGGTAAGCATAAATTCGATCTCCCTTTTATGTTGTACGTTAAATTTGTACAAAGATGGACATATATCTGTATATTTGTAGTAGTGTACATGAATCACATAATACAAGTAGGAGATTTCGATAAATGGGTTATATTCTTATTTTTTAATATTTATTTTTGGTTCCATAAAAAACTCATTCAAGGTTAACAAACTCATTCCAGTTAATTAACTGATTCGATGTGTTCTGCAATATTAATCCACTTCAGGGTTTATTTTGTAGTCTCAATTTTGGCTTAATTCCAAGCCAATCTTGTGCCAAGTTTGAGTAGGGTATTCTTTTCGGGTTGAATTTGAGCTTTATCTTATTTAATTTAACAAGATGGTGGGACTTGGTCCAAGGGTAAGGTTGCTCCATTGTAAACCAAGCTACTCGATCTTGGTTTACGAAAGGCTAGGTAAAGACTCACTTGTGTGATGAACAACCTTAACATTAATGGTGGGTGATCATAATTAGCCTTGTAAAATGAGTAAACGAATAATGGTAAGCTAAGGAATGAGCTAATGTAGTTTGAAATGATGTCCTTGGCGCTTCAACAGCACCAACTGAAACTCTTTAATTTGATGGCACAACGATGGGTAATCCTTAAAGTTTCTTTTATTTCCATCCTTATTATCTGCCAATTATGTTCAAATTTAATTTGAGGGTTCGTCGCAGAGGATTCCAAGAGAGTTCACAAAAAAGTATGGAAAACATCTGTCGAACCTTGTGTTCCTCAAGGTTCCGACTGGTGCAGTATGGAAAGTAGAATTGGTAGATTCAGATGGTGCTGTTTGGCTACAGAATGGTTGGCAAGAATTCAGGGAGTATTATTCTATAGGTTATGGACACTTTTTGGTGTTTAGGTATGTTGGAAATTCTCATTTTCATGTTCTTATATTTGATATGAGTGCATCAGAGATAGAATACCCTGTAAGTGCTACCCATGGTGAACAAACCAACAATACACGACACAAAGTGCGCAGAACAGATGCTCTTGAGGTAGATGATTCTCTCGAAATCTTGGATGGTACATGTAAAACAGAGAACACTTCTATAGGCATTCAAACTTGTGGCATGAAGCTTGCCAAATCAAATGCAGATTGGGGTTCAAACTGTTTGACCAGAGAGATTAAAAGTAAAAATCTACTTCTACTGTTATATTGTTTCGGTTGGTGTTCTTGTTTTTAATCACTTGCATTAAAAATTAAAATTTATCTTAATTTTCCAGCAGAAGAATGCACTGGGGACACGGTCACTGAAACGAGAGACCTGCATACTAAGAATCCTAAAAGAAGGCGATCAATAAGTGACGACGAAAAATTTAGTGCCCTTCAAAGAGCCAAAGATTATAAATCCGAAGATCCTTTTATTGTGATTTTTATGCAACCATCTTATGTCACAGCCAGAACCAATCTGGTAAGCTATGTTATCTTCAATGAGTGTATGACATATTCCTTTAAAGGCAATTAATAGATTTTGAACCTCCTAATTTTATTTTTCAGTTGAACAATTTTTTTATCAACACAAGAAAAAAGTAATATTTTTTTAAAAAAATTGTTTTTGCAGAGTTTACCATTAGTCTTTGCACAGAAATATTTTGCTCACAAGCAGAACATCATACTTCGTGTTTCCGATGGGAGAACATGGTCTGTTAAGTGCAGTTTGGGAGAAACAAATGCAAAACTCAATTCTGGTTGGAAATCATTTGTGCAGGACAATCATCTTAAAGTAGGTGATGTTTGTGTCTTTCAACTGATTAAGGGCGTAGAACCTTCGCTAAAAGTCATCATATTTTGAGCAGCAGTCGAATGTGCCAAGTGTCGCGTGCTGCTGCAGGATTTTGTAATGTACTTAGAAGTCCATTTTGTGTTCATGAGATTGAGGAAGACAGCAACATCTAGGATTGATGACTTTATTTTGGACCGTTTCTGCTAATGTGTTTAATCCATCTATTAGCTGTTTGTTGTTTCCAACTTTTTTTGCAATGAACTGAATGTATCAGCATTTGGAATTTGTGAATTGAAGTCTTAGTTTTGAATTTGCTTTCCTGTTGTTGGATTATGTAATTTTGTTTCTTATAATGTTTTGGTTTTCTTTTTGCTGGGTCATCTGGTATTGATCAGTAAATTCTCAAGTCCCCATTTTGTCTATCATTTGAAAAGGCACCAACACATTGGCAATATTGGATGTACAAATGTTCATAGGATGTTGAAAATGAAAATTTCCTGCTTCAGAGATAACTTAGCCAAGAAACTAATATGAAACAGGCTTTTGTTGAACATTTGAACCTCTTTATGTGAGTTCTGTTTTATAGTTTTTCTCTCAGAGCTTTTTTAATTCAATTTTCAGCCGTTAAAAATATGTCAAGTCATATTTTATGTGATGACCAAGTTTATTTTTATTTTTAGTCTCCTTTTATATATTTTTTTAATTTCATTTTGTTATGTTGTGGGGCCTAGGTTGACTAGTGGGTGAGATATGTGTGGATGAGAATGTGTGTGACATGTATATGTGTGTGTATAGAGAGATAAAGTGTAAGATAGACCAAAAACCCTCTCATTTCTCTCACTCCACTCTCTCTTCTCTCTCCCATTCTTTTATTTTTCATTTTACTTCAACCATTTCTCCACCATTTCACCTCCAACCTTTGAGATTTTGAGCTTGCATAGAAGGGAAGTTGACGGGGCTACGGGAGGAACAAAACCCCTCAATCAATTTTGGATTTGGAGCACATTTTTCTTTTGGAGTAGCTAGGGTTTGCTCCTAGCTTGAGGTGGGGGTGTATTGTGCTTATAACCTAGGAGTTCTTGGAATTTTATGATCATTGTGTGAGTTATGCATATACTTGTGTGTGTGGGTTTAATTAGAGAGCTTATAATGATTTAATTACATGTCCATAATATTTTATTGAATTTTTATATCAATTTTCATGTGTAATATGTTATTTGTTCCATTGTTGATATTATGGATGTTAATTAAAGTCCTAGATCTTAATGTGTACAATTTCTTATAATTAAAGTGCCTTATGTTTTGTGTTTATTCATGGAATTATCATGTATTTGTTATTTTATGAAGGTTAATTTTGAAGATGTATATTTCTATGATGACGTTATACTTTTACACACTTGAAATTTGATATAATGATAACATGAATTTAAATGACTTTAAAATACCCAATTTGTTGACATTGTATCAAAGAGTATGCCATTATAGTGATTTGGACCATAGGACATGGATTGTGTGATTAGTATAATTTATGTGCGCATGTGAAGTGCAATTTGGGCATATCATGGTATATGGATTATTTTGTGGACTTGTTTGTTAATTTTGGGAAATACTCGGGGGTTATTACTTTGAGAATGTGAGGGCTCGGCACTCGCCGGTGAAACATGAGTTTCCCCACTTTATATTGGCCAATTGGTTAGTTTCCGACGGACTAGTAATCCGAAAATGACTATTTTATTTAGGCGCATAGCATGGCTATGTGACCGAGAGTGTGGGTGTGTTCCGAGTTATCCCGTTAATTGATTTCGACTTTTATTTTCAAGTTGGCATTTATGTGCTATTGCAACTTGTGAATTTATGTACATTACACTATATTATTTATGTTTGTCTTGATGAATGAATTAATATTATTTTTGCTAAACTAGGATGATCCTATTTAGGTTCCCCTTGAGACTAGACATTAGAGAGCATGTTCCTTGTATTGTATGACCATGCAATGTTTGTAGAATTTTGAGAAATCTAGTTTATATTCATGAGACATTCATACGGAGCAATTCGTTGCTTACCCCGTTGATTCTTATATTTTTCAGGAAAGGGCATTGCCCAAGAGGAGGTTCCTCATCCCTAGCTTGATTGGGATCTTGACAACATTTTTGAGCGACCTGTGATAATTGTGACATTCATTGTGTAGCTTACTTTTGGACTTGTATTTTGACACATGGTGTATTTTGGATATTATATTTGATGACATGTTTGTAATATTCTTTTGGAGGAGGAAAATGACGTAGGAACTCACCCATCTATCTTTTAGAGTTCCTATATAATTTCCTCTCTTATCTTTACTCATGTAATCCCTTAACATTATTTCTTACCTTATGGATTGTAATGAGGCCATGGTGGCCATGACTTATATAGTGGGATTGAACAATTATTGTTTAAGTTGTGTACATGTGGGTTCATTTGGATAGTCTAATATAAATGGTTAATTAATCATGCTATTATTTATTTTATGAAACTATTATTATTATTATTATTATTATTATTATTATTTATGTGGTGAATGACACCGGTTTTCTCCAATTAATTATTTATTTACTCAAGTAAATCTAAGTAATTAATTATTTATTTAATTATCTATTATTATTATTATTATTATTATTATTATTATTCATCTATTTTTATTATTATTATTTTTTCTTCGCGACCCGAGTCGTGGAATTCGGGGCGTGACAACGTGGTATCAGAGCATTCGGGTTCGGAAACCTAAGGACGATGGGTTGGGTTTATTTCATGTTCCATGTTTACATAATAATTATTTATTACGTGCTTATGTGCTTAATTGTTTAACACATTTTGTTTTATGACTTAACATGATTTATATGTAGGCTCGCATTATCATGCATTGCGTTTCATGCTTCTATTGAGTGAATTGCATGGGATTGTGAGCACTTCTATTTAATTATTGACTTACATCTATATTCATCCATTTCCATTGTACTTATAGAACCATGCCGCCTAGACGTGAGACTGGAGAGATTTCGTATCCTAACCTTGGGGAGCATGTGGATGAGACACAACTTCTTAGGGATATGGTTCACCCCATGAGGGATAGGAGCAGAGGCGTGGGTGTTGACCTACCACCTACTTCTTTTGATGGCACACAAGTGATGATGGTGATGACACGTGGATTCACAGTGGCCATGGAGGAGATGGTTCGGAGAGTTACCGCAGGATTGAGGCCTCCAGAGCCGATAGTGGCTAACCCGGCTATAGATTACCTTGTGACGTTTCAGAGGCTCAAGCTTGAGCCATTTGCAGGGGGATTTGATCCACTAGTGGCAGAGTTTTGGCTTGACCAGGCGGTCAAGAAACTTGACGGTATAGCGGTGCCCACAGATCGGTTGAGGATTTCACTAATATCCTTCTCATTCACAGGTGATGCCGAGGTTTGGTAGAGATCTATCACCAACACTCATGATATTGAGACGATGACGTGAGAAGTCTTCCAGGGGCTCTTTTATGAAAAATATTTCCCAAGGACCGCAATGAGGGAAATGAGAAAGAAGTTCGATGGCCTCTACCAAGGGAGTATGAGTGTCATGGAGTATGAGAACAAGTTGACGTTTCTTTCTCGCTATGCACCGAACTTGGTGCAGACCGATGAGGATAGGGCCTTGAAGTTTTAAGATGGCCTATACCTTGACATTAGGCCCCCTATTTTAGTTTTGGATTTGAAGGTTTATTCTGAAGTGGTGAGGCGGGCATTGCTTGTGGAGTCAGAGGACAAGGATTCACAGTGGATTAGGGAGTCCAAAAAGCATTTCAGGGGTGAGGCTTCATCTTCAGGGAGTCAATCGAAGAAGTTTAGAAGAGGAGGGGGCAGTTCATACTCACAGGGGTCTCAGCAGCAGGCACGTCCTGCACCCACAGTTCCCTTATCTTTGGGATCCACACGTGAGGTAGTCTGCCACCATTGTCATCAGTCAGGACACATTAAGCCATGTTGCCCACAGCTTCAGACACCTACCACACAGTCTTTTACTGCTTCGACCGGACTTCTGAATACTTGCTTCAGTTGTGGTCAGACAGGACATTTCAAGAAGGAGTGCCCACAGAGGGGGAGTGGATCACGTGGTGGTACGGGATCACAGTACAGGCAGTCACAGTTATCCGTTGTCCAGTCTGGATCTAGAGTTCCACAGACACCACAGCCTGCAGCTTCAGTTCAGGGCCCACGACCTGCTAGGGGCTCTACACCTAGTATGTTTTCATAGCAGTCAGGGTATAAGGGTGGTGGACAGTAGGGTTCAGGAGAGCAGGGTAGAGTTTTTGCTCTTCCTTAAACGGGTACTTCAGTGGGACCTTCAGTTGTTCGAGGTATATTTCTTATGTTCAGTTCTTGGGCTAGAGTTTTGATTGACTCAGGTACATCACATTCATTTATTTCATCATCATTTGCACATTCATTGGGGTTGGAGATCACATCCTTGGATGGGGTTCTTTGTGTTGACACAGCAGTTGGGGGACCAGTTACGTTAAATAGGATTTGTCGGGGTTGTGCTATTGAGTTAGCAGGGCGGACATTGTGGTTCGACTTCATTCCTCTTGAGATGACGGGTTTTGACGTCATTCTTGGGATGGATTGGTTGTTTTTTTTTCAAGCCACCATTGATTGTTTTCGAGGGAGGGTAACCATATGTACTCCCAATAGAGATTGTTTTTACTTTGTGGGAGATCGGAGCGATTCACACACTTTGACCGTTTATGGTATTGGTGATTAGGGTCGTCACAGGTTCTACTTGGCCAGCCTTTTAGTCGAGGAAGAATGGAGTCTGGGTGATAGTTTTCCAGCAGTGGTTGGTGAGTTCGTTGATGTCTTTCCGGAGGAATTGACAGAGTTGCCTCCCATACGGGATGTTGTGTTCGCCATTGACGTCATACCCGGTACTGCGCCCATCTCTATGGCGTCGTATCGCATGGCACCTGCGGAGTTGAATGAGTTGAAGAGTCAGTTGGATGATTTGAAAGCAAAGGGCTTCATTCGCCCTAATGCTTCACCGTGGGGAGCACCGGTTTTTTTTGCGAAGAAGAATGATGGGTCTTTAAGACTTTGCATCGACTATCGCAAGTTGAACCATGCTACGATCAAGAACAAGTATCCTTTGCCAAGGATAGATGACTTGTTTGATCAATTGAAGGGAGCTAAGTGTTTTTCAAAAATAGACTTGAGGTCGGGCTACTATCAGTTGAGAGTCAGGGATGAGGATATCCCTAAGACCGCTTTTCGCACACGGTATGACCATTATGAGTTCCTTATGATGCCATTTGGTTTGACCAATGCTCCAGTAGCTTTTACGGACTTGATGAACCGTGTGTTTAGTACCTATCTTGATGAGTTTGTGGTGGTATTTGTTGATGACATACTCTTGTACTTATCTTCGGAGGAGGAACATGAGTCTCACTTGAGAACAATGTTGCAGACCCTTAGGGATAACTGGTTGTATACCAAGTACGAGAAGTGCGAGTTTTGGCTACCAGAAGTGAAGTTCCTTGGACATGTTGTCTCAGGAGGAGGAGTTTCAGTTAATCCTTCGAAAATTGAAGCAGTAATGGATTGGGAACGTCCGAAGAGTGTATTTGAGATTCGGAGTTTCCTTGGCCTAGCTGGCTATTATCGAAGATTTGCTCAGGATTTCTCTCGTTTAGCGGCACCTATAACTCAACTTACTCGCAAGGGAATCAAGTTTGTATGGAATGAGGCTTGTGAGCTAGCCTTTCAGGAGTTGAAGACTAGATTAACTACGGCTCCAATTTTGGTGATTCTTGAACGTGGTTTGGGTTATGTGATCTATTGTGACGTTTCACGAAATGGTTTGGGTTGCGTCTTAATGCTGACGGAACGGGTGGTTGCTTATGGGTCTAGACAGTTGAAGACTCATAAGCAGAATTATTCGACTCATGATTTGGAGTTGGCGGTAGTGATTTCGCATTGAAAGGATGGAGATATTACTTGTACGGGGAGAAGTTTGAGATTTTCTCCGACCATAAGAGTCTCAAGTATCTTTTCTCATAAAAAGACTTGAACATGAAGCAACGACGATAGGTGGAGTATATGGAGGACTATAATTTTGATTTGCAGTATCAACTAACGTTATGGCAGATGCATTGAGTAGGAAGTCATATGGAAACTTGGCTAGCATTGCCATCCGGGAATGGAAAATAATGGGGGATTTTGCAGAGATGGGTCTGTATTTCAGTGATGATGATGCACCGGCTACTTTGTTTAGTCTTGTAGCTCAACCAACCCTTGTTAACGGGGTAATTGAGGCACAAAAGCAGAATAACGAGGTGGAGTTCATTCGCACACGGATTTCAAGTGGCGAGTTTGTAGATGGTTGGACATTACGTTCAGATGGAGGTCTTAGGTTTAAGGGAAAGATATATGTCCCTTTGCCTTGTCGTGATAGTGTCCTTCAGGACTTTCACCATTCTCGACTTATTGTTCATCCAGGTGATACCAAGATGTATCACAATTTAAGACGTCAGTTTTGGTGGAAGGGTATGAAACAGGATGTTGCACAGTTTGTGGCCAAGTGTCTTACTTGTCAACAAGTGAAGGCCGAGCATCAGAGGCCAGCGGGTTTGTTGCAACCATTGCCATTAGCAGAGTGGAAATGGGAGCACATTACCATGGATTTTGTGATGGGACTTTCGAGGTCAAAGAAGTGGAATGATGCCATTTGGGTCATAGTTAATAGGTTGACAGAGACAGCTCACTTTTTGCCTATGCAAGTATCTGATGATGCAGAGAAGCTCAGTAAGCAGTATGTGGGGTAGATTGTCAGGCTCCATGGGGTTCCGGTGTCTATTGTTTCGAATAGGGATCCACGATTCACTTCACATTTTTGGTAGGGTTTTCAAGAGGCTCTTGACACAGGACTTCATTTTAGCACGGCATTCTATCCTCAAATTGATGGTCAGTCAGAACGTACCATTCAAACATTGGAAGATATGTGACGAACTTGCATCTTAGATTTTGGAGGCAGTTGGGAAGATCACTTGCCTTTGGTGGAGTTTGCCTACAACAACAGTTATCAGGCCAGCACTGAGATGGCACCTTTTGAGCCATTATATGGCAGACCTTGTAGATCTCCAGTTTGTTGGGTCGAGGTGGGAGAGACAGCTGTCTTGGGTCCCGACATTGTTATTGAGACCACGGAGAAAATCAAGTTGATTCGACTGCGGTTGGTCACCGCTCAAAGTAGGCAGAAAAGCTATGCTAACAAGAGGAGAAGACCTTTGTCCTTCGAGGTGGGAGACCATGTTTTTCTCAAGATCGCTCCACGCAAGGGATTAATTCGTTTTGGGCGAAGTGAAAAGTTGTCTCCTAGGTTCATTGGGCCATTCGAGATCTTGGATTGCGTTGGTGAGGTTGCGTATTGCTTGGCGTTACCCCCACATTTGGATAAGGTTCACAATGTATTCCATGTTTCTATGTTAAGGAAGTATGAGCCAGATCCGTCATACATTTTGAGATGGGCCGACATTGAGGTTGACACTAGGGAGCAAGTGTTGAGAAACAAAACCATTCCATTGGTCAATGTTTTATGGAGGCATCACGGAGTTGAGGAGGCTACCTGGGAACGGGAGGAGGAGGTTCGCTCCAAGTACCCGGATTTGTTTACAACTTGAGGTATGACCTGATTTCGGGGACGAAATCCCTTTAAGTTGGGGAGGTTGTGATGACCAAGTTTATTTTTATTTTTATTTTCCTTTTATATTTTTTTTAATTGCATTTTGTTATGTTGTGGGGCCTAGGTTGACTAGTGGGTGAGATATGTGTGGATGAGAATGTGTGTGACATGTATATGTGTGTGTATAGAGAGATAAAGTGTAAGATAGACCAAAAATCCTCTCATTTCTCTCACTCCACCGACACTCTCTCTTCTCTCTCCCATTCTTTTATTTTTCATTTTACTTCAACCATTTCTCCACCATTTCACCTCCAACCTTTGAGATTTTGAGCTTGCATAGAAGGGAAGTTGACGAGGACTATGAGAGGAACAAAACCCCTCAATCAATTTTGGATTTGGAGCACATTTTTCTTTTGGAGTAGCTAAGGTTTGCTCTTAACTTGAGGTAGGGGTGTATTGTGCTTATAACCTAGGAGTTTTTGGAATTTTATGACCATTGTGTGAGTTATGCATATACTTGTGTGTGTGGGTTTAATTAGAGAGCTTATATAATGATTTAATTGCATGTCCAAAATGTTTTATTGAATTTTTATATCAATTTTCATGTGTAATATGTTATTTGTTCCATTGTTGATATTATGGATGTTAATTAAAGTCCTAGATCTTAATGTGTACAATTTCTTGTAATTAAAGTGCCTTATATTTTGTGTTTATTCATGAAATTATCATGTATTTGTTATTTTATGAAGGTTAATTTTGAAGATATATATTTCTATGATGACGTTAAACTTTTACACACTTGAAATTTGATATAATGATAACATGAATTTAAATGACTTTAAAATACCCAATTTGTTGACATTGTATCAAAGAGTATGCCATTATAATGATTTGGACCATAGGACATGGATTGTGTGATTCGTATAATTTATGTGCGCATATAAAGTGCAATTTGGGCATATCATGGTATATGGATTATTTTGTGGACTTGTTTGTTGATTTTGGGAGATACTCGGGGGTTGTTACTTTGAGAATGCGAGGGTTCGGCGCTCGCGGGTGAAACATGAGTTTCCTCACTTTATATTGGCCAATTGGTTAGTTTCCGGCGGACTAGTAATCCGAAAACGACTATTTTATTTAGGTGCATAGCATGGCTATGTGACCGGGAGTGTGGGTGTGTTCCGAGTTATCCCGTTAATTGATTTCGACTTTTATTTTCAAGTTGGCATTTATGTGTTATTGCAACTTGTGAATTTATGTACATTACACTATAATATTTATGTTTGTCTTGATGAATGAATTAATATTATTTTTGCTAGACTAGGATGATCCTATTTAGGTTCCCCATGAGACTAGACATTAGGGAGCATGTTCCTTGTATTGTATGACCATGCAATGTTTGTAGAATTTTGAGAAACCTAGTTTATATTCATGAGACATTCATACGGAACAATTCGTTGCTCACCTCGTTGATTCTTATATTTTTCAGGAAAGGGCATTGCCCAAAAGGAGGTTCCTCATCCCTACCTTGATTGGGATCTTGAAAACATTTTTGAGCTACCTATGATAATTGTGACATCCATTATGTAGCTTACTTTTGGATTTGTATTTTGACACATGGTGTATTTTGAATATTATATTTGATGACATGTTTGTAATATTCTTTTGGAGGAGGGAAATGACGTAGGAACTCACCCATTTATCTTTTGGACTTCTTATGGAATTTTCTCTCTTATCTTTACTCATGTAATCCCTTAACATTATTTCTCACCTTATGGATTGTAATGAAACCATGGTGGCCATGACTTATATAGTGGGATTGAACAATTATTGTTTAAGTTGTGTACATGTGAGTTTATTTGAATAATCTAATATAAATGGTTAATTAATCATGCTATTATTTATTTTATGAAACTATTATTATTATTATTATTTATGTGGTGAATGACACCGATTTTCTCCAATTAATTAATTATTTACTCAAGTGAATCTAATTAATTAATCAATTATCTATTATTATTCATTTATTTTTATTTTTATTTCTTCGCGACCCGAATCGTGGAATTCGGGGCGTGACAAATTAAATTTTGCATAAGGAGTTAATAGAACAGGCGATCATTTTTTTAGAATGTCATTCTCATCCTGTCATCCTCCATGATTAGTTTTTGATTTTTAAAGTGAAAAAAGACTTCATGCACATTTAATATTTTATTATATGTGTAATTAACTAATTATATTATGTCATATAAATAAAAATATTTTATTTTAATAGATATTATCACTATATATCGATTTTTAATAAAATAGCATAACATGTTATCACTACAATCAACGAATCAAATTTTTCCTTTAAAGTGGTGCGCGGAGTTAGGGAGTGGCCCACACAAAATAAAAATTGGCGCACTGTCAGCCATGGCCATGCTAAATGAGTAAATGTGGGAGGCACACATTTATTTTTTTATTTTTATTTATATTTTTTCTCTTCCTTTGGCTGTCTCATAAATAAATTCAAATCTTCTACAGTCCATGCTATCCCAATGCAATTGTTATATTTGTGCAGAGTCATGTCTGCTCCCATTAAACACCGATGTGGCTCTCCATATGCGCGAATATAACCCTTAAAATAATTTTTAAAAAAACTATATTGCCCTAAAAATAGGCTACTTATGGCGTACTCGCTGACTAGTGACTACGACTCTTTTCTTTTGAGAGTTGACATTAATAGTTGCCGAATTTCTAAAATGATGGAGATTTTGTCAAACAAATTTTCTAAGGAAGTGAGTACGCCTTCCAGAGATAATACGCTCATGGGTCACATAATAATTAAAAAATTTTAATCGAATTACAAAACACTCAATTGGTGTCACATCAAAAATTTGACTCGAAGAAGTGTAGATGTACAGGTAAACAGGACGACGCAATCACAATAAGAGCGAGCGTTCTCTCTACCTAGATGCACAGATGAATTACGAAAGAAGTAAACCAAATTTTACCATTAAATTATTGTTATTTTTTAATTTTACATAAAAGAATATTAAAATGGACTAGTTTATTAATATGTAAATTATATATATATATATATATATATATATATATATATATATTTTTCCTGTTTTCACATATAAATGTTCTTAATCGTAGCAATTACAAAAGAATTAAACTAAAAATTACTATTAGATTATTATTAAAATTGACTAGTTTATTAATATATATATATATATATATATATATTATTAATTATAATTGTTATTAATTGGCGTCGTAATGTGACTGATGTATCGGGAGGTGCTTGTTTAGTACCGTATTAATGAGTGTGGAGTGTGATTGATGCATCGGGAGATGCGTGTCCAATACCGTGATTTGTAAGCGTTGTGCCATTAAAATAGCACAAACCACAATTACAATGAGTTATATTACCAATTCTTTCATTGACTTATCAGTGATTGGCTAGTAAACGGTTAGAGCCAGGAGTCATAATATACCTCACAGGAGTCTCATATCCCTTTGATTATCAGTCATTGTTACACAAAGAAACGATGGCGAGTTCTTCCCACTGCAAAAGTGATGATAAGAATTCACTCGAATTGAGTTTTCCAACTAGAGGGCCAAGATTTTTCAAGATAATACATGATGGTATTGTTCACGATCCAAAGTTGGTAAGAATATAATTCACCACCTTACATTATATGAATGAAAATAATACAATATGCAATATATGCATGATAAATAATATACTTATTTATAACCCAAAAAATGATATTTCAACAAACATTATGCCCTTTCTAAGACCTTCTAGTAAAGTTGTGTCTTTTCTGAAAAGAAATGTTTTCAAATTTGAATACCAACATATTCCAACAGTACAAAACTTTCATAAATGAATTTGATTTGATTTTTATATTTATACACAATATACATACATGTATTTTTGTAATCAGTATTGTGCATGCATGATACAAAGTTGGAGTATATACAAAAGTTTGGTCTACTTTAACCAGGATCGTTATCAAGTTGAACAGAGATAGCTGAAAGCGGGTTATATTTGCTCAAAAAATTAGCAAGCTCCAAACTAAATGACCCATGATTCGACTCATTTATTTTAATGCCAATTTCAAGCCAAGTATGAGTTATTTGGTGTATATATAGATTTATATGGATGGTCTTGAAATCACAAGTTCATGAATACCTATATAATCTTACAAATTTGAATTTATGTTCCAACCTTTAATTTCTTGTTCATCTCACAAGTGAGACGTACAAATCAAGCTCAAGTTGCTTGGTAATGTGTCTTAGTTTATTAACATTAAATGCTTATGATATATGTTTAAACTACTTTTCTTCATTAACCTTGTATACTAATTAAAATGAATAATGGTAAGCCAAGTATAAGCAAATGTAGTTTGCAATTATGTTCATGGCACTTTTACTGAAAGTACTTAATTTGATGTCACAATAATGTGTAACCCTTATACTTTCTTTCCTTTCCATTCTTCTTATTTCGAATTTAATTTGAGATTTATTGCAGAGGATTCCAGGAGTGTTTATGAAAAATTATGGAAAAAATCTATCGAACCCTGTATTCCTCAATGTTCCAAGTGGTGCTGAATGGAAAGTAGAACTGGTACATTCTGACGGGAAGGTTTGGCTCCAAAATGGCTGGCAAGAATTCAAAGAGTACTATTCTATAGGTTCTGGACACGTTTTGGTGTTTAGGTATGATGGAAATTCCCATTTTCATGTTCTTATATTTGATATGAGTGCGTCAGAGATAGAATACCCAATTAGTGATACTCATGTTGAACAAACCAACAATAACGAGGGATTCAACATTGAGGTTGATGATTCTGTCGAAATCTTGAACGATTTTCCAACATGCCAGACAAGTGAGCAAATTCATGAATATGAACAAATTGACGAAGATGTCTTTGTTAGAATATCTGATGATTTTCCAACAAGGCGGACCACAAGCAAGTGTTTGAAAACAAAAATAAAAGGTAAGAAATTTACTTCTACTGTTGTTATATTGTATCTTTACGGTAAACCAAAAAATATTTTTGTGCATGCATGCATTATAACTTAATTTATGTTGATTGTCCTGCAGAAGAATGCAGCGGAAGGAAGGCTACAACATCAAGGCACCTGCATACTATGGCTCCTGAAAAAAGGCCTAGAGTGTCTGCTGATGAAAAAGAGAGTGCCGAAGCTTATCAATCAAAAGATCCCTTCTTCCTGGTTTTTATGCAACCATCTTATGTTGGAGGCAGATTCAATTTGGTAAGCCATCAATTGAAATTTTCGTGGGCGACATCATATATATATGTGTGTGTGTGTGTGTTTGATGTTCAATAAATGTATGATATTACCTTAGAAGTGAAATTATTGAAGATGCTCCATTCAAGAGTAAACTTAATTTGGACCTTATAATTTCATTAAAACATTTTATTGTTATTATTATTTTTTGCAGTGTATACCATTTGAATTTGCCAACAAATATTTCACTCATAAGCAGAAAGTGATACTTGGGGTTTCCAGTGGGAGAACATGGTCAGTTGTGTGCGAGTTGGCGTCAGGAGTAGCAAGACTCGATTATGGTTGGAAATCATTTGTGGAGGACAATCATCTCAAAGCAGGTGATGTTTGTGTCTTTCACCTCATTAAGGAGGGCACCGAACCTTCGCTTAAAGTCGTCATATTTTGAGCAGTCGGAGATGCAAGATGTTGCCTACCTCTAACAAGCTGTAGGAACTGAGAGGCGCTTTGCACTAAATCTTCCTTCATGAACCGCATTTGGAAGTAGTTTTTTTTTTTATTTTATGGGAAACTCTTTTAGAAGTTGATGGGACTGTATTTTGGTCTGTTTCCTGCTTGTGGTTTGATCTACTTATGCATGTTTTGGTGTTTGATCTACTCTTTTACTATGAATTGGGCTTATGCATGTTATGGTGTTTTAGCTCTTTCACTATGAACTGAGATCATTCAATTAAAATGACCTTAGGAATAGGTTTTATTTCACAATGTTCTTCTGTTTTATAAAGATTTCAATTTCCTAGAACTCCATAATGAAGTTTTCACTAACACCATTCAATTATATATGTTAACTTGGCAGACTAGGGGACTCGAACAGGCACCGGCTAGGGCCACTGGATAATGCCCTTTCACTTTTAAAAATACTTGGCCCATTATAATGAATTAAGGTGACTTTTGGAATAGGTTTTGTGATTTTGTGCTCCAAAAACTACAATTGCGCTCCAAATCTTGTTCTACTAGAAGGAAATGACGTTGCTGCCCTTTAGAATATTTTTGGGACAAAATCCAGAAATGAGGATGTACTTCATGCATGTACTCTCTTCAACCCTCATCTTCTATGATTTTATAATTTTTCCAAGTTTTATATGCTCTATACTCCTAAATCAATAAACATTAATTAAACCCAAATGAATACTGTACCTTAAAAAGAGGATTTATCCTCAATATTTGTTTTCAAAGGTATATAGATTTTATTGTGAACAAAAAAAAAAATAAAAGAAATAAAAAAAATCAAGTCCTCGGCCACGGTGACAGATTCGGGTTTTGATATTTCAAAAAATCATGGAAGTGTACTATTTCAATTAAAAGATAAACATGGTGCAAAAGAAATATATATATATATATATATATATATATATATATATATCAACATAGAGTTTGAGGATGTTATTCATTTTTTCATGAAGTAACCTTCCTAAGTAAACCAAAGGTGTTTCCCTGAAAACCAGGGCAGGCCGGTATGAATGTAGCTTATTTTTTATTGGTTTTCCACGAACGCTAAATATAAAATAAAAAAGTAGCGATACTTACACTGAAGACTCTAACTTATTTTCTTAGCCGAATCTATATGAGTGTCATGTCATCAAGATTCACACTTATCTTTATTTTTTTATCAAAATTTATGCATTTCTCGATAAATTAATTAAAACAATTACTAGACACGTGGGTCGTCTCTCCCAAAATACGAACAACCCCCATTATCCAAGCATGACAACCATTACTGCTCATAACCCTGCAAATTTATCTTCAAAATATCACAAATTAAACCTTTTTTTCATTAGAAAAACATTTTTTTTTCCTTATTTTTCTTTTCCTTTCCTTTGTTTTTTTTTTTTTAATTCGTACTTGTATTGTATGGAATGGAAAGAGATCTGAGCTGTTCTCATAAGAATCCCACGATTGTAGAAGAAAACACAGTAATAGAGGAGGAGGTCCAGGTAGGTTTTTGTCATCCATTTTGGAAACTCCACATAAATATTTTTTTAATGAGTGTTACTGTGTTAGGTGAGTGTTCACTTTGTTTTGTAAGATTGTACATTAATAAGGTTTGACTGGTTTGGTAGACATCATTCAATCCATCCAATTCCTTTGTCATTATTAAAACACCAGGACAGTAAGTCTCAATCAATTTTGGAAGTTCATTGCACGACAAAGAAAAAGATGGTTAGCACTCGGCAAAGTGATGAGAATTTCGCACAACAAATATGGATGCGCGGGGTGTGCGAGTTTGCACTGAAGTCACTAGAGCATTTTAATGTAAGGATTGACTTTGAATAAAAATAAAGATTTGTTCTCTCAGCCCCAAAAAGAGGATTTATCCTCAATATTTGTTTTCAAAGGTATATAGATTTTATTGTGAACAAAAAAAAAATAAAAGAAAAAAAAAAATCAAGTCATCGGCCACGATGACAGATTCGGGTTTTGATATTTTAAAAAAGAGAAGTGATAGTTCTTTCGACCTCAATTGTCGACTCTTTCTCCGAATATAACGTGATTGGGAATGAGTCGAAAATTAAGAGATGTTTACGAGAATTTTTTTAAGAGTTCCAACAGGATTCAACCACGTTGTATTCGTGGGATAAGTCGGCGATTAAGGTCGGAAGACCTATCATTTCTCTTCAAAAAATCATGGAAGTGTACTATTTTAATTTAAAGATAAACATGATGCAAAAGAAATATATATATATATCAACATAGAGTTTGAGGATGTTACCCAATTTTTCATGAAGTAACCTTCCTAAGTATACAGAGGTGTTTCCCTGAAAATTGGGGCAGGCCGGTATGAATGTAGCTTATTTTTTATTGGTTTTCCATGAACGCTAAATATAAAATAAAAGAGTAGTGATACTTACACTAAAGACTCTAACCTATTTTTTTAACCTAATCTACATGGGTGCTATGTCATCAAGATTCACACTTATCTTTATTTATTTATCAAAATTTACACATTTCTCGATAAATTAATTAAAACAATTACTGAGACACGTGGGTCGTCTCTTCCAAAATATGAACAACCACCATCATCCAAGCATGGTAACCATCACTGCTCATAATGTAATACCCCTAATTTTAAAAGGACAGTTCTGAAATTTAATTATTATATTTAATTGCATTTTATTTTATTATGTGTCATTTTATTGGATTATTTGTTTGATAATTGATTATCTGCTTGTTTGTCCTTTTATTTGAATTAATTGTTTTCTTTTATTAATATTATTGTTTTTGTTATTGGATTATTTTGAATTGGGTTAAGTTAAATGTTAATTTATTTTAGATTAGGATTATATTTCTGTGGAAGTTATTTAAACGTTAAATTATATAATCAAGTTGATTTACGTATATGTCAGTTAGGGTTGGAGTTACTATAGCCGACCTAGGTTGTATTAAGTCGCCGTGTATTATAACTTGGACAATTGCATGGGCCGACTAAGGGTTTGCATTAGGGCTCTAGCTATATACGGATTAGGATTGGAGAATTAAGCCTATAAATATATCTCTTCATGTGGGTTTAGGGTTTAGCAAACAAACATCACACAACCTGCATTCACGTATCAGGTTTTCAGAGAGGGAAAAACAGAGAGTTGTAGAGAGTTTCAGACAGAACCTTTGGGGATTGAAGGAAGAATTCAAGGAGAAGGTTGGGGATTGAATTAGGAGCAGCAGAGGGAGTTGAGACAACCATCGTTGCCGAAGTTGACAGAGGTCTGCAGTTCCACAGTCTGAAACTGAAGGCAAGTTCTGTTTCCACTCTATCTCTTTAATCTGTGTTCTGTACAGGCTTAGAAAGACTCTAAGGATTAAACCAAGATTAAAAACAGATTAATGATTAAATTTATCTTGTATGCATGTTCAAACGGAAATAAATCTCGTGAATCAAACTGTGCAAATTTTTAAAGAACTGTGAACTGATGCATGCTGTGTCTTGGGTTCAAGCTTGGTTAATTGGGATTATTGATTCATGTTGGGGGGTTTCTCATGTAATCTAGAATAGTGTATAAACACTGGAACAAGGTTTTAAAATTCTAAATAGGTTTTGAACTTAGCCGGAGGCGAGGAAGACAACCAGAGAAGGAATTATGGCTCTCCCTTTGAGAGCCGGCTCACCAAAGGAGGGAGCCGGCTCTAGGGGTGTGAGAGCCGGCTCCACAAGGGATTGGAGCCCGCTCCACAAGGGTAGAGCCGGCTCCAATAAGGGAGGAGCTGGCTCCACCAAGAAGGGAGGCGGCTCCAGCTTCTTTTCTTACTTCTGCGTGATTTTGGGTTATTTCTGGACCTATGGAAGATGACTGGGTTGTTTCAGTGGGTAAAATTGGGATGTATAATAGTTCTAGGGATGTAAAAATGGTTGGAAGTATTGTTAATGGTATTGGGTTGAACCTTGAAGCAACCTAAGGTTAAATGAAGAAACTGCATATGTGAAGTTGTCTTTGAAATCTTTGTAAACTGTTTACTGCTTTGAGCAAAGTTTTGGGTTCTTTTGCATGTTTAAATTTATCAAGCATGTTCAAATATGTTATAAGCATATGTTTATCTATCTAGAAGATTAAGTATGCTTAAATGGAATTAATGGATGTTTTAAATTTATCAACTATTGCATCTGATATGGTTGTGCAGGAGGAGTGGTAGGTTTCAGTCTTACTTAATAAAATGGGATTGCAAAAGGGATTTCTAAACCTTATGTAGGATGATTAATGTGTTGTACACATGTTAAATTGTTTATATGCAAATCTTGAAGTATGGTGGATTGGTATTTATTACTGTTCCGTCAACTATATTAACTGGAGGAACTACATGTACAGTTTTATCATATATATATAAAGCACTGTAATGTGATATTTAAATGGTATATTGGATGCATGAATTGGTTGAAAATATGTTAAACTATATTTATGTTTCTTTTGGAAATTAGTTGATACATGTTTATGCTGTGTTATTAACTATGGAACTGGAGGATTGTATGCACCGGTATGGGACGGTGGCATACTAGGTATGGATTAGTACAAACACTAAGTCCTACCTAATTTGGAATGAGTTGGATTAACCATAAAGAGGTTAAGTCCTACTTATATGGATGTATATGAACCGGTATGGGATGGTGTCATATTAGGGATGGCTTAGTTCAAAACTCTAAGACCTACCTATATTGGGAAGGGATTAGTTCAAAACACTAAGTCTGACCCAATTTGGATTAAGGTATGGATTAACCATAAATGTTAAGTCCATCACCTATTTGTGTCATGTCAATCAAATAAAGTGATTGACCTACTATGGTTTCAGGATGAATTTGTGCTACATATATCAGACCACTATACAGATGAATGATATTTTGTATTAGGAGTACGGACTTTATATATTTATTTTATGTGCCATGGTATGAGCTTGAGTCTCAAGACCATGGTTAGGGTGCGTATATCACTTGGGATGGATAACTGAACATAGGTATTATTCCCTAGTAGGTCTAGGTACTCATGCCCACCTTAGGGTGCGTATTTGCATGTTGCCTTCTATTCAGGCTGAGACAAACCTATTGGACTAGCGAGCGTCCTATTAGTGTGCACTATATACATATATGGACTACTCTAGATATGGTTGAGTCTTCCTAGGATGTATCTGCATATCGGATTACTGTTTGGATTGTGTAGATCAGGACTTGCATGTGGGCTTGACCCACTTCTTTATTTTTCAGGTGTTCGTCAGTTTCAGGGTTAGAGCTTGGACGTGCAGAGCAGATACAGATATTCATTCGTCCGACTATGTAGGATTCTTCTCTATGTTAGCTATAGAATTTATTTCTATGATTTAAACTCCTATTTGAGAAATTTTATAAGGGGTCCAATAGATTGATTCCCGAGTTGTAAACTTACAGAGATTTTGAAGCTTGGATTTTTATAATTATATTTGGAAGATATTTATTTCTAGTTCCTTTCAACTTTTAAATTTTTATTTCTTAAATCAAATCAATTTTGTATTCCGTGTTCGATTTAAAATATTAATTGTCTGATATCCCTCGGGTTTGGGCCTGGGCTTGATCAACCCGTGTCTCGGATCCGAGGGGTATCACAGTTGGTATCAGAGCACTCCAGGTTCAAGTGTCTCTAGGGTGTTTCGTATTAAGTCTTCCACGTAGCGTTTTCTCTTGATTAGAGCTTAAGTTTAGGATTCGGTGAATTCCTTTACGGTTCGTTTAGAAGGTACTGATGTCAAGTTTATTCTGTAATTTTAGAATGGTTGGCACTAGGAAGAGGATAGGGTCCGTGATGAAAGCAAAGACGGGCCCAAGGCCGAGGAAGGTTACTCCGGCGATTCCCCTGAGAAGGTCGATCAAGAAGGAAGAATTGGAAAATAAGGAATTGATTCCAATGGGTGTTGCTTCGGAGTACACGTTAAGGAAGGTTTCTGGTGTGCGAGATTGGCCACCATACTGTGGACCTAACACAACTTCGGTGGTGCTCAAAGCTGAGCCAAGCGGAGAGGAAGACCCCGAAGAAGATCCAGATGGAGAAGACACCGGAGCATCCACGAAGGAGAGCACCGGAGTTCAAGGATAAATGCTCTTTTAAGAGTACTATGATTTTATCTACTAGTAGGAGTATAAGTATTGTTTAAAGAATAGTACTGTTTACACTAGTTTTGGTTTTAAAGAATTTAAGACAATTATTCTTTTGGAGGTTTATGGATTTGAAAATGTTTTAATAATGTAAACTAGTGGTTTTGGTTATCTTCATTGTGTTTTACGATAGTATTTTTGGGATATAAATATACATGTGGGTTTGTTAAACTATATTGGTATGTGTATAGTACGATAATGGAGGATTCTTACAATGGAGTGATTGGTTTTGGACAAACAAACAAATATTTGTTTACGTGTATGATGTGTTAAGACAGGACGATTACCAAGGAGTTTATAAATGAACTAGTGTAAGTCGATAGGGTAATTTTGTTTCCGAATGTTGAATCCCCAGGATAGTATGATGGTTTAAAAGGGAATAGCGGCAGTTTTGGTGGGCAAGTATAGAGAGAGACATTGCTCTTTTCGTTTTTCAGTATAGTACTTGTCAGATGGTCAAGATTGATCATCAGAGGTCGCCAGGAACTCTACAGCCACTGCCGATACCGGAGTGAAATTTAGCGAGAGCAGATTCTTGGGTCTTGAGTTCATCAAGGATACTTCTGAGAGGATAGTTTTTCTTAGGGATCGCTTGCGTCCGCCCAGGGTAGGCAGACGAGTTGTGCAGATCATTGCACACGTGCTTTGGAAATTTCAGGTTGGGGATCAGGTTTTACTTAGAGTGTAGCCTATGAAAGGTGTCATGCACTTTGGGAAGAAAGGGAAGTTGTCACCGTAATTTATCGGTTCATAAATTACGGATCACGTTGGAGCTGTCGCTTATAAGTTGGCACTTCCAGATAATTTAGATCACGTCCACAATGTGTCCCATGTTTTCATGTTGTGGAATTATCAGCGAGATGAGAGGCGGTATCAACATATCAATGTTGGGAAGTTTGAGTTGTAGCCGGATGCAACTTATGTGGAGCCACCGTGTCGTATTGTCGACCGTCGGGATCAGATCCTTCGTAATAAGGTTATTCCTTTAGTTCGTGTGCAGTGGAGTCATCACAATGAGGCTGAATCCACTTGGGAACGGGAGGATGTCATTCGCTCGCAGTTTCCTGGATTACTGGAAGAAAGTAAGAGTGAATTCCGAGGACGGAATTCCTTTTGTTAGGGGGAAAGAATGTAATACCCCTAATTTTAAAAGGACAGTTCTGGAATTTAATTATTGTATTTAATTGCATTTTATTTTATTATGTGTCATTTTATTGGATTATTTGTTTGATAATTGATTATCTGCTTGTTTGTCCTTTTATTTGAATTAATTGTTTTCTTTTATTAATATTATTGTTTTTGTTATTGGATTATTTTGAATTGGGTTAAGTTAAATGTTAATTTAATTTAGATTAGGATTATATTCTGTGGAAGTTATTTAAACGTTAAATTATATAATCAAGTTGATTTACGTATATGTCAGTTAGGGTTGGAGTTACTGTAGCTGACCTAGGTTGTATTAAGTCGCCGTGTATTATAACTTGGACAATTGCATGGGCCGACTAAGGGTTTGCATTAGGGCTCTAGCTATATACGGATTAGGGTTGGAGAATTAAGCCTATAAATATATTTCTTCATGTGGGTTTAGGGTTTAGCAAACAAACATCACACAACCTGCATTCACGTATCAGGTTTTCAGAGAGGGAAAAACAGAGAGTTGTAGAGAGTTTCAGAGAGAACCTTTGGGGATTGAAGGAAGAATTCAAGGAGAAGGTCGGGGATTGAATTAGGAGCAGCAGAGGGAGTTGAGACAACCATCGTTGCCGGAGTTGACAGAGGTCTGCAGTTCCACAGTCTGAAACTGAAGGCAAGTTCTGTTTCCACTCTATCTCTTTAATCTGTGTTCTGTACAGGCTTAGAAAGACTCTAAAGATTAAACCAAGATTAAAAACAGATTAATGATTAAATTTATCTTGTATGCATGTTCAAACGAAAATAAATCTCGTGAATCAAACTGTGCAAATTTTTAAAGAACTGTGAACTGATGCATGCTGTGTCTTGGGTTCAAGCTTGGTTAATTGGGATTATTGATGCATGTTGGGGGGATTCTCATGTAATCTAGGATAGTGTATAAACACTGGAACAAGGTTTTAAAATTCTAAATAGGTTTTGAACTTAGCCGGAGGCGAGGAAGACAACCAGAGAAGGAATTACGGCTCTCAAAGGAGGAGAGCCGGCTCACCAAAGGAGGGAGCCTGCTCTAGGGGTGTGAGAGCCGGCTCCACAAGGGATTGGAGCCGGCTCCACAAGGGTAGAGCCGGCTCCAATAAGGGAGGAGCGTAGGGCTCTAGCTATATACGGATTAGGGTTGGAGAATTAAGCCTATAAATATATTTCTTCATGTGGGTTTAGGGTTTAGCAAACAAACATCACACAACCTGCATTCACGTATCAGGTTTTCAGAGAGGGAAAAACAGAGAGTTGTAGAGAGTTTCAGAGAGAACCTTTGGGGATTGAAGGAAGAATTCAAGGAGAAGGTTGGGGATTGAATTAGGAGCAGCAGAGGGAGTTGAGACAACCATCGTTGCCGGAGTTGACAGAGGTCTGCAGTTCCACAGTCTGAAACTGAAGGCAAGTTCTGTTTCCACTCTATCTCTTTAATCTGTGTTCTGTACAGGCTTAGAAAGACTCTAAGGATTAAACCAAGATTAAAAACAGATTAATGATTAAATTTATCTTGTATGCATGTTCAAACGGAAATAAATCTCGTGAATCAAACTGTGCAAATTTTTAAAGAACTGTGAACTGATGCATGCTGTGTCTTGGGTTCAAGCTTGGTTAATTGGGATTATTGATGCATGTTGGGGGGTTTCTCATGTAATCTAGGATAGTGTATAAACACTGGAACAAGGTTTTAAAATTCTAAATAGGTTTTGAACTTAGTCGGAGGCGAGGAAGACAACCAGAGAAGGAATTACGGCTCTCAAAGGAGGAGAACCGGCTCACCAAAGGAGGGAGCCGGCTCTAGGGGTGTGAGAGCCGGCTCCACAAGGGTAGAGCCGACTCCAATAAGGGAGGAGCCGGCTCCACCAAGAAGGGAGGCGGCTCCAGCTTCTTTTCTTGCTTCTGCGTGATTTTGGGTTGTTTCTGGACCTATGGAAGATGACTGGGTTGTTTCAGTGGGTAAAATTGGGATGTATAATAGTTCTAGGGATATAAAAATGGTTGGAAGTATTGTTAATGGTATTGGGTTGAACCTTGAAGCAACCTAAGGTTAAACGAAGAAACTGCATATGTGAAGTTGTCTTTGAAATCTTTGTAAACTGTTTACTGCTTTGAGCAAAGTTTTGGGTTCTTTTGCATGTTTAAATTTATCAAGTATGTTCAAATATGTTATAAGCATATGTTTATCTATCTAGAAGATTAAGTATGCTTAAATGGAATTAATGGATGTTTTAAATTTATCAACTATTGCATCAGATATGGTTGTGCAGGAGGAGTGGTAGGTTTCAGTCTTACTTAATAAAATGGGACTGGAAAGGGATTTCTAAACCTTATGTAGGATGATTAATGTGTTGTACACATGTTAAACTGTTTATATGCAAATCTTGAAGTATGGTGGATTGGTATTTATTACTGTTCCGTCAACTATATTAATTGGAGGAACTACATGTACAGTCTTTTCATATATATATAAAGCACTGTAATGTGATATTTAAATGGTATATTGGATGCATGAATTGGTTGTAAATATGTTAAACTATATTTATGTTTCTTTTGGAAATTAGTTGATACATGTTTATGCTGTGTTATTAACTATGGAACTGGAGGATTGTATGCACCGGTATGGGACGGTGGCATACTAGGTATGGATTAGTACAAACACTAAGTCCTACCAAATTTGGAATGAGTTGGATTAACCATAAAGAGGTTAAGTCATACTTATATGGATGTATATGAACCGGTATGGGACGGTGTCATATTAGGGATGGCTTAGTTCAAAACACTAAGACCTACCTATATTGTGAAGGGATTAGTTCAAAACACTAAGTCCGACCCAATTTGAATTAAGGTATGGATTAACCATAAATGTTAAGTCCATCACCTACTTGTGTCATGTCAATCAAATAAAGTGAATGACCTACTATGGTTTCAGGATGAATTTGTGCTACATATATCAGACCACTATACAGATGGATAATATTTTGTATTAGGAGTACGGACTTTATATATTTATTTTATGTGCCATGGTATGAGCTTGAGTCTCAGGACCATGGTTAGGGCGCGTATATCGCTTGGGATGGATAACTGGACATAGGTATTGTTCCCTGGTAGGTCTAGGTACTCATGCCCACCTTAGGGTGCGTATTTGCATGTTGCCTTTTATTCAGGCTGAGACAAACCTATTAGACTAGCGAGCGTCCTATTAGTGTGCACTATATATATATATGGACTACTCTAGATATGGTTGAGTCTTCCTAGTATGTATCTGCGTATCGGATTACTGTTTGGATTGTGTAGATCAGGACTTGCATGTGGGCCTGACCCACTCCTTTATTTTCCAGGTGTTCGTCAGTTTCAGGGTTAGAGCTTGGACGTGCAGAGCAGATACAAATATTCATTCCTCCGACTATGTAGGAATCTTCTCTATGTTAGCTGTAGAATTTATTTCTATGATTTAAACTCCTATTTGAGAAATTTTATAAAGGGTCCAATAGATGGATTCCCGAGTTGTAAACTTACATAGGTTTTGAAGTTTGGATTTTTATAATTATATTTGGAAGATATTTATTTCCAGTTCCTTTCAGCTTTTAAATTTTTATTTCTTAAATCAAATCAATTTTGTATTCCGTGTTTGATTTAAAATATTAATTATCTGATATCTTTCGGGTTTGGGCCTGGGCCTGGGCCTGATCAACCTGTGTCTCGGATCCAAGGGGTATCACACATAACCATGCAAATTTATCCTCAAAATATCACAAATTAAACCTTTTTTTCATTAGAAAAACCTTCTTTTTTTTATTCCTTATTTTTCTTTTCCTTTCCTTTGTTTTTTTTTTTTTTAATTCGTACTTGTATTGTATGGAATGGAAAAGAGATCTGAGCTGTTCTCATAAGAATCCCACGATTGTAGAAGAAAACACAGTAACAGAGGAGGAGGTCCTGGTAGGTTTTTGTCATCCATTTTGGAAACTCGACATAAATATTTTATTAATGAGTGTTACTGTGTTAGGTGAGTGTTCACTTTGTTTTGTAAGATTGTACATTAATAAGGTTTGACTGGTTTGGTAGACATCATTCAATCCATCCAATTCATTTGTCATTATTAAAACACTAGGACAGTAAGTCTCAATCAATTTTGGAAGTTCATTGCACAACAAAGAAAAAGATGGTTAGCACTAGGCAAAGTGATGAGAATTTCGCCCAGGGGCTGGCCAAGCAACCAAAGTTTTTCAAGATCATCATTCACGATCAAAAGTTGGTAAGAATATATTCAATCTCCTTTATGTTATATTGTAAAATATGCATTATAGAGATAATAAAAAATATCTTGAATCACCTCTACATTATATTGTTGAAACAAGGTAGACAAAATTAGTAGTTAAAGAAAAATGTGTTTTCAATGCAACAATAATATTCAGAATAATAGGAAACAACATAAACAAAATGAGTTATTAAGGAAAAGAGAGTTTTAGAAGAAGAAGTAATCTCTTACATAATAGGGACTTGGATGAATAACACATGCAACTAGGTTATTTATAACCTAAAAGATGATATTTCTATAAAACATGCATTATGTCTTTTCTAGAAAGATATAAATCTTCCGGTAAAGTTATGTCTGTTTTTGAAAGGAGTCCTTTCAAATTTAAACACTAACATATTAAGTACAAAAACTTTTAAAAGTTAATTTGATTTTGTATATTTCCAACATGTATTTATACACATGTATCTATCTTTATAATCTGTTGGTGCATCTATACACCATACATATACAAAGTTGTGGTTTTAAAAAATGGCCGGGTTTAACTTCTTAATGTTTAATATTTATTGGGTTCCGTTTAAATGAATTGATGTTTTTCAGGGACTATTTCTCAAACCTCTACTAGTACATAGAGTTCTGTTCGTACTCTCGAAAATCAATTTTCTCATTTAAAATTTCATTAGACAATTTAAGATTGTAAAATGAAGATTGTTAAAAAGTTTTTAACTGCTTGTATTTGCTATAAAAATAAAAATAAAAAATGGAAAGCTACTAAATGACTCATGATTTTGAGTCTGTTATTTTAAAACCAATTTCAAGCCAAGTTTGAGTTGTTTGGTGTGTGTGTGTGTGTGTGTATATATAGTTATATGGATGGTCCTGAACTTACAAGTTGAATTTAAACCTGCATGCCTAAATAATCTTAAAAATTTAAATTTATGTTCCAACCTTTTCTTGTTCATCTCAAGACGAATCAAGCTCAAGTCACTTGGTGATTTGTGTTGGAACCGGCCTTAACATTAATTGGAGAGGATATATGTTTAAAGTACCTTTCTTCATTAATTTGTATGGTGATTAACACGAATAATGATAAGCTAAGGAATAAGCAGATGTGGTTTGCAATTATTATGTTCATGGCACTTAACTACTTAAGCAGCATTTGATGAAAGTACTTAATTTGATGTCCCAATGATTTGTAGTAATACTTTTTCTTTCTCAAATGCTTCTTATCTGTCAATCCTGTTCAAATTTAACTCGAGGTTTATTGTAGAGGATTCCAAAAAAGTTTATTACAAGTCATGGAAACAATCTGTCAAATCCTGTATTCCTCAAGGTTCCAACTGGTGCTGTATGGACAATAGAGTTGGTACATTCTGATGGGGATGTTTGGCTGCAAAATGGCTGGAAAGAATTCAAAGAGTACTATTCTATAGATTATGGACACATGTTGGTATTTAAGTACGATGGAAATTCCCATTTTCATGTTCATATATTTGATACGAGTGCATCAGAGATAGAATACCCAAGTGATGCTTATGTTGAACAAACCAACAACAACATGGGATGCCAAATGCCCAATACGGATGCTATTGAGGTTGGTGATTCTGTCGAAATCTTGAATCATTTTCCAACATACCAGACAAGGGAGGAAATTAATGGGGTGAAGTCTGGTAAGTCAAATATTGAAGATGGTGATTCCAACTCTTCGAAAAGAGAAATTAAAAGTAAGAAATTAAGACTTCTTTGTAAACCAAGAAATACTTCTTCTTCTTTTTTCGATAATTAACCAAGAAATACTTTGTGCAAGCATCCTAACTCAATTTGTCTCGATTGTCCTGCAGACGAATGCAGCGGAAGCATGGCTACTATATCAAGGAACCTGCATAACAAGTCTCCTGAAAGAAGGCCTAAAGTGTCTGCTGATGAAAAAAAGAGAGCCCTTGGAAAAGCCAAAGCTTATAAATCGAAAGATCCCTTTTTCGTGGTTGTCATGCAACCATCTTATGTTGAAGGCAGATGCAATTTGGTAAGCCATCAATCGATATTCTCGTGATCGAGCAACTAATTTTTAGTTGATACTTTATTTATTTATTATTTTTTTGCAGAATATACCGGTTGCCTTTGCCAGGAAATATTTGTCTCATAACCAGAGAATCATACTTGGGGATTCCAATGGGACAACATGGTCTGCTGAGTGCTGTTTTGTGTCAGGATGGGCAAAACTCAGTTCTGGTTGGAAATCATTCGCATCGGACAATCATCTTCAAGTAGGTGATGTTTGTGTCTTTCAGCTCACTGAGGGCATCCAAACTACGCTGAAAGTCATCATATTTTGAGATGCAAGGCGCTGCCTGCCGCTAACATTAATATGTGTAGGATTGGTGACTGAAAGGAGCTTTACAGTACTAAATCTTCCTTCATCATGAACTACTCTCTTTCAAGTTTATTTTTATCGTTTGTTTGACAAACTCTTTTGGATGTTGACATAAATGTGGAAGGTCAGGGGTTCGAACCTCAGTGGAGCCAGTATGTGTGAGCACCAACTAAGAAAAAAAAAAAAAAAAAAAATGTGCTTTGGTCTGTTTCCTGCTAGTACTGGTTTGATCAATTTATGCATGTCTTGTCGTTTCACTTATTCTTTCACTATGAACTGGGATCTTTGAATTTGTGGTTAATTATATGATGATGAAACTACTACATTGGTGCCAAATTGCCATATTTTCTGCATTCTTGTCTACCTTTCACAAATTGCCCATATGGTGTTGATTAGAACAAGTTTTGCAATAGGTATTATTTCACACTGTTCTAATATGTTGCAAGATTTCAGTTTCCAAGAATTGCATAATGAAGTTTTCGTTTTTAAAATTACTTGGCAACATTAAAAACCGAAAGGAAAATGATTATTTACAAGATTTTTTTAGGAGAGGTTAACTGTGGTGGAGAAGAGAGAGAAAATAATATAAGAGAGATGAGATAGAATGATTGATTTTTTAATTTATTTTAGAGTATATTTTGTATTATAAAAATATATTAGTATAATTGATTTTTTATAATCTCAAGAGGGGTTGGAGTAATAAATTTCAAATGCTCTATTCATGTGAAATTTGTCCAAATTTTAGGGAAAGTAAGTGCAATTTAAGCGCGGATCATTCCATGCAATTAAAATTAATGTTCATACTTTTTCATAATTTTTTTTTTTTTTTAATAATATCTTGTTACATTTTGTGAATTCAATTTTTTTTTCAAGAGAGTGTTGATTAGAATGACGTGTGACCCAACCACTCGTGCAATCAGTTAATAAGAGGGTCGTAATTCCCGGTCATTTAAAAATTTCTCCAATATTTCGCTGCTGGTGACGTGGCATTCTTATCACAATTACATAAATGGCCTCATACCAAAACATTTCTTATTTGGTTTACTTGCGAAAAATAGGGACTCACCTACTAATTCTTGAATTATGATGTTGACCTGCAAATGCTGCAATGTTCCAAAAATTAATCCAGAGCAAACAAAATTAGGGTTAAGGCATTTACTTTGCCGGCTTTTTGGCTTAAGATCAAACAATGGTGAAGCCTGCCAAAAAGTTCTCTTTCTCTGATAAGTCCCCACAGTTCTTCAAAGTTTATATCCCGGAACAGAGCTCTCAACGACTGGTAAATCTTGCCCTCTTTGCTATATGATTAACAACTTTTTGTTGGGTTTGGGAGCACAAAATACAAATCACGCCTTAAAATTGAAATCTAAGAAATTTTTTTTTTTAAGTTTAAACTAATATTTATTCAATTTCAATCAATACATGTAACTTTTATATATATTTTGCTCTCTCAAGTACAATGCTACCTATATATATCAATCTGTCTTCTACAATCTACCGTGACCAATTGTATTGAATGTTTCAAATTTTGTATTCTTATAGCGAATTCCACCAGCATTCCTTAAGCATTTTGATGGAGTTTTACCTTCCAAGTCTATAATTAGGAGTCATGCAAGCAGATCGTGGCGGGTTGAAGTGAGAAAGGTTGATAACAATCTGTATTTTGAAAAGGGTTGGCATGAATTTGTGGAAGACAATTCATTAGAGTTCGGAGATTTCCTAGTATTTTGTTATGGTGGTGATTCAATCTTTTTTGTTAAAGTATTTGGTAAAAATGGCTGTCACAAGGAGGTTTGCATTCTCACTATGGAAGAAAATCAGATAACTGAAACCGGTGAGTAACTGAGTAATTTAAGTTGTTTGTTCTATTCATCATAAAATTTTACAACTTGTGTCTACTTATCATATATATTTGACACACACACACACACATATATATATATATAATGCAGTGAAGGATGAACAGTTGATTCTTGAAAACGATGGCAAGCTGCAAAAAATTAATAGAACTTCACATCGGAGGGGTTTCATGGCTGTTCAAGAGAATGATAAATCTCTGAAACCTCCTGGGAAGTCTCTCTCTTCATACCCTTCCTTCCAAGTTGTAATGCAGAAAGCTTATGTGGACAAGAGTTTTCTGGTAAGCTTATATATATATATATATATATATATATATATATATATATATATATATATTCTTACTCCATGAGATGTTGATAGAATAAACTTAGTAACAAAGAAGTGAGATGAGGGACTTCCTCTGGCATTAGGTCACAGATAATTAGTCAGATTTTATATTAGTATTTTTCTAAATGGTATTATTAGATACCAAGCATTAGAAACCAGAATACTTATATGCAGCATTTACCAATTGTGATATGGTGCACTAACAAACATGCCTCAAAACTGATAACTGTACATAGAGACTTGCGAATAAAATTTATCATCATGATGTCAATAATCAGGTTTTATGATCATACAAATATAAATTTCAACATTGTGCGAACTTACTGAAAAAGAACTTATACATTGTGCAGCATATACCATTGAGCTTCGTCATGAGCTACATCAAAAAGGGTAGACAGGATGCTATTCTTCGCGTTTCAGCAAAGTCATGGGATGTGAAATTGATTCGTCTTATGAATGGCGTATACAGGATTGGTAGAGGTTGGCGCGCATTTTGTAAGGATAACACACTGCAAGTGGGAGATGTTTGTGTCTTTGAGCTAATTGAGAGAGATGATTTTGTGCTAAAAGTCTCTGTTTCGAGATCTAGTAATTGAGTGATAGTTTGTTACTGCTTTGTTAATTTCATGAGGACACAATAATATCATGAATTGCATGATGGAGATAGCTAATTTTCAGGAGGTGGGTGAAGCTACTCTCTATGCATATGCTTCTGTATCTGAAATTTCTCTGGTCGTAGTGATGTGTTTGATGTTCATTCATTGACAAAGGCTAAAACTGTATATTGTATAATCATTGCCCCCACCCTTAGTCGAGCAATTTTTTTAAACGGTTGCTACTCTTACAGTCTCACTCTCATGCTTGCCCACCCCATATTTAAATTTTGTCGTTCTCCCATTCCTGTGTGACTTAGCACACCGCAGAGAAGGTGATTAGAGTAATTTTGAATAGTTTAAATGAGTTTGGATACCTTTTACTTAAGTAAAGAAGGAAGGGGGAGAATTTTTTAAGACATGCTTGTGCTCATTTGGTAACCATCGAGAGAACTCAGCTGAATCAACAATTGTTACACAGCCCCAGGGTTATTTGTGTATATTATAATTTTTACATGTTGAGCTTTTTGACCAAGGCTATGTTTGGTACGGTGAGAAAGAAAAAAAAAGAATAACATTAATTATGAGGGTAAGGAAAGGAAATGACAGGATAATTTTAATCCTTATCGTATTTAGTTGATTAACGAACAAAAAAAAAGGATAATAATTATCTTTAAAAAAAAGAAAGAAAAGGAAACCGTTTTAATAAATTTATTATTATACCATTTTATATTTTAAAAGATAAATTTATAGGTTTAACGATATAATATAAAAATAAATAATAATTTGATAAAAATATTACTGTTGTTTTGAATTCATGTTATACTTATAGGCAAAAGAAATGTATACTAAATAGGCAAAAGAAATATAACTATTTTAATATAAATGAGTTAAATTAAAAATTATCAATAAAAATAAACAAAAAAGATAAACTAGAGAATTACATGATATTTATGTGACAAATGGATCAAAAATATGAAGAATGCAGAAACATTTCAGCCTCTCCAATCGCCTCCATCTAAAAATTTATAGGCCCATGGATGATGGGCCGCCAGAAATATATATATCTATATATATATATTTAGGGCAAATCATTTCAGCCTCCAAATCGCATCCATCTCTATTCTTGTTCTCAACTCTGAACCTACCCTCTCTCTCTCTCTCTGCAACTGCAAACTACAAAATCAGAAGTTCAAAACCCGCGTCCGTCTCTATTCTCGTTCTCAACTCTGAACCTGCCCTCACTCTCTCTCTCTGCAACTGCAAACTACAAAATCAGAAGTTCCAAACCCGCGTCCGTCTCTATTCTCGTTCTCAACTCTGAACTTGCCCTCTCTCTCTCTCTCTCTCTCTCTCTCTGCAACTGCAAACTACAAAATCAGAAGTTCAAAACCCATATATTTCAGTTTATCTATCTGTCTGCAAGAATCAAAAGTTCAAAACCTATTACCGGCATATCATGTCAGATTGTTCAAAAAATCAAAACCTATATCTTTCAGTTTCCATCCCCCGCTGTTCTAGTTCGGGTTCGCCGTTCGCAAGCTTCAGCCGCTGTCTCTCAACTCTCAAGCTTGCCCGCCTCTCTCTCTCTGCAACTGCTAACTTGTATGTATGGGTTTTCTTTTAATTTTTTTTTTGTCTAAATCAATTAATCAAGGTCTGTAATTCTTGTTTTGCAAACTAAATCCTGTTTGGTGAAATTTTTTATGATCTTTTTTATATAATTTTTTTTTTATTTTATGAATTTTAGTTATAAATATTAGTGAAGATAATGACTGAAACAGGATCTCCCTTTACAGGATTTGAAAGACTAATTGGTAAATTTGGGTAGAACGTGAGACTTGAACAAGCTGAAGGCCCTTATCGTGGATTATAATTTTTACAATTACAGCATCCTACGGTCCTACCATCTTTTAGAGGGCTTTAGTCACTTCAGACTGGTAAGTTATTTCTTCAATTATTCAATATATATATATATATATATATATATATATATATATATATATATATTATTCGAATTTTTTTCATGCTAATAATAAACTGGATGTTAACCGCATAAAGCATAAATCTGTCAATTAATATGGGCGCCCAATTGTATATGAAACAAAGTAGTAACAAAATTTATTAATATATAAACAACAAAATTTATTAATTCTTGTTTTGCAAACTAAAATAAGTGTAATCTTGATCTTGTGTAAGGTAAATTTGGCATCAGAAATAATATATCAAGCCTCTCTTTTCTTTCCCTTCATTTCCTCCCATTTTTGATAAGAAAGTTACTATTTAACCCCTGTGATATCCTTTCAAAATCATCCCTTTCCTTTCTTTTCCTTTCCTTTCCTTCCAACCATTTATGCCAAGCACAATTTTTTAATCACCCTCCATCACATCACCTTTCCTTTCCTCCCTTTTCCATTGCACCAAACTGACCCTAAAGACACCTTAGAGCACGCATGATATATTCAATTTGACATTTTTGGCAATAATCAGAGTTGTTAGGTGGATAATTACAGAGCTCAATCCATATAAAATTTTGCCAATTCAATTTTACCATATTTGAGAAATGCCACTCAAGCTAACAAAGTAGGCCAACTAAACAATGAAATATAACCAATAGGCAAATTCATTTAGGTTTTACATGATATATATATATATATATATATATATATATATATATATATATTCATGGGTGCAGTTTGTGCAGATGTAACCTGCAGAGAGATCACGTACTGTCGGAGAGATAGAGAGGAGATACGGTGAGAGATATCTGTACGAAAGAAGACAAAGGCTTTTTTTGTCTCTCAGTTTTTATTTATTTTTAGTTTTTGGTAGGAATAGAATGGCTATTCACAGCTCAAGAAGACCAATGGTCATTTCAATTTTTTCTTGGAATGAGTGAATTCCTTGAAAGGGTCATTTCAATAATGCTCAATGATGATGTTTTCCACTTCATAAGTGGATGCAATAATGCAATACCTTGCCTTCGGGGGCTTGGATGAGTTGGTAAGGGCTTGGCATTGGCTCCCACTTGGCCAGTGTTTGAACCTTGCTAGCCTCCATTATCACCCCCGACTTACCCGGTGTATCCTTGGGGTAAGGCTCTGCACCACCAGGTTTGTAACCTATGATGGGTCCCGAAGGGGCCCTGCCTAGGGGAGTTCCTGATGCTAACTAAAAAATAATAATAATAATGCAATACCTTGAAATTGCCATTCTACCCTTAAAAAGTAACAAGGTGGAATGACTTTTCCATTCCATTCCAATTTGCCAAACTAGGGGTAAGTACAAAATACTCAAGACTCATCTATTTATTCTTAGACCTATATAACATTGACGTCCACAAAGTAATCAAGCGCTATCCAAAGTGGTGTAGGTATTTTGGAATAAGATCAAACAATGGTGAAACCTCCCAAAAAGTTCTCTTTCTCTGACTCAGTTCTTCAAAGTTTTTATCCCAGAACAGAGCTCTCAACGACTGGTAATTCTCCTCTTTGCTCTATAACTAGTAACTCTTTTGTTGGGTGTGGGAGCATTTAATCAGGATCTTGAAATTGAAATATATTACCATAACCAATTTAATCAGGATCTTGAATGTTTCAATTTTTGTATTCTTATAGCGAATTCCACCAGCGTTCCTTAAGCATTTTGATGGAGTTATACCCTCCAAGTCTATAATTAGGAGCCATGCAAGCAGATCGTGGCAGGTTGAAATGAGAGAAGTTGATAACAATCTGTATTTTGAAAAGTGTTGGCATGAATTTGTGGAAGACAGTTCACTAGAGTTTGGAGATTTCCTAGTATTTTGTTATGGTGGCGATTCAATCTTTTTTGTTCAAGTATATGGGAAAAATGGCTGTCACAAGGAGGTTTGCTTCCCCACTAGGAAGACTGAAAAATCATTTGCATTTGTGCAAGAAAATCAGAAAAAAGAACCCGGTTAGTAATTTACATAAAATTTATGTTCATCATAAAAGTTTTCAACGGTGTGCCTGCTTATCATATATGTTGACACACACACACACATATATATATAATGCAGTGAAGGAAAAACATTTGATGCTTGAAGACAATGGCACGCAGCAAAAAACTAATAGGACTTTACGTCGGAGGGGTCTCATGGCTGTTCAAGAGAATGATGAAGCTCTGAAACCTCCTGGGAAGTTTCTGTCGAAGTTTCTGTCTTCATACCCTTCCTTTGAAGTTGTTATGAAGCCAGCTTATCTGGAAAATAGATATATGGTAAGCTTATGATTGCTCAAATTCAACAATGTATATGTTGGATTGTACTCCTTCAGATGTTGGTAGATTAAAATGAGTAACAAAAGAAGTGAGATGAGGGACTTCCTCGGCATTATTTGGATATGGTACACTGACAAATATGCCTCAAAACTAATAACTGTATGTAGAAAGACTTGTGCATTAAATTTGTTGGAATCATTGTCAATAATCAGGTTTCATAATTTCTGCATTGTGCGAACTTACCAATAGTAAACTGGTACATTGTGCAGTATGTACCAACGAGCTTTGTCAAGAGCTACATGAAACAGGGTACACAGGATGTTATTCTTCGTGTTTCAGCAAAGTCGTGGGATGTGAAATATATTAGCTATATGAATACTCACATGTTCAGTAAAGGTTGGAGCTTATTTTGCAAGGACAACACACTGCAAGTCGGAGATTCTTGTGTCTTTGAGCTGGTTGAGATGGAGGATTTTGTGCTGAAAGTTTCTGTTTTTAGATATGGTAATTGAGTGATAGCACTTGATATCACCAAGTGAATGATGGAGATTTGATAACTAATGTTCAAGAGGTTGGTCAAGCTACTTTCTATGTATATGCTTTTGTATCTGAAAATTATCTAGTCCTTGTGATGTGTTTGAAGAATGTGAAAAGGGTAATTTTGAATATATTGGTATGTTTGGACACATTTTTACTCATTCAAGTAAAAGAAGGAATGGAGATCATTCTTGAAGCATTGCAATTCTGACAGGCTAACCATTGAGATGGAAAAACTGTGAACTCAGTTGATCAACAATTGTCAGAGCAGCAAGAAAACAGAGCTTAAGGGCTTAAGTTGGCCTGTGCCCCTTCTTTGGCCCTTTGAAGGGGTTGTCATGAGCCTTCTTCGCCCATCCGTACCCCGTACTGTCTCTCTCAACTGAACCTCGACCTTTTGTGATGGGGGAGGATAATTCGATTTTTAGATCTCATGGTTCGGTGATGGTTTAGAAAAATAATAATTCGCTATTCGCAGTTCAATTAACGGATTGGACCGTGGAAAAATTGATCCGATCCAATTCGATCTGTTATCTTAATTATATATTAATATATTATATATATAACTATATTTATTATATTTATATATATTTTTTATTCATTATTTAAGACTCTTCACTTTTGGATGATTTATAACTCTATTTTGTTTTTAAAAAGTTAGTTACAGGTTTTTAATTATTAATTTAAGATTTTGATAGGTCATAAAGTGTAATTATATTGGGCTGTTTGAAAAGCCCAATTCGTGGAAGCCGAACCGATTCGTTATTTTACAGATCGGTTTGGTTCGGATTGAAGGTCTCCACAGATCGGTTCGGTTTCAAATTTCACAAATCCGTAATAATCGAATTGGATTGAACTTTATTTCCAAATCGAATCGATCAGTCCTATTTTTTGATGGATGGATTTCTGCCTATGGATTTCTACATTCAGGCTCCATCTTACATGATGGATTCGACCTACCCTCTTTGTCAAATACCAAAAATTAAAAAAATATTTTATTTGAAAAAGAAAATAGAGAGCAAGCTGTTTTTTATTTGTCTTGGATGCATTATAGAGAGCCCAATTGGCCAACCAAATAAATTTAGTGATAAATAGAACAAAATCAAGGAACGGAATCAGGAGCCGAATTGGCCAACCAAATAAATTTAGTGATAAATAGAACAAAATCAAGGAACGGAATCAGGAGCCGAATTGGCCAACCAAATAAATTTAGTGATAAATAGAACAAAATCAAGGAACGGAATCAGGGCTGATATCAAACGATTCACGTGGCTACTGTTTTGGTTACTACATGTTGAATAGTTAATAGTTAATGTGCATTTGGTGTTATTCTTTTTTATTGTTATATATATATATATATATATATGTTTTGGTTACTACTTGTTGAATAGTTAATAGTTAATGTGCATTTGGTGATATATGTTTTGGTTACTACTTGTTGAATAGTTAATAGTTAATGTGCATTTGGTGTTATTCTTTTTTATTGTTATATATATATATATATATATATATATATATATATATGTTTTGGTTACTACATGTTGAATAGTTAATAGTTAATGTGCATTTGGTGTTTTGGTTACTACATGTTGAATAGTTAATAGTTAATGTGCATTTGGTGTTATTCTTTTTTATTGTGTTATATATATATATATATATATATATAAACTATCTTTGATATATTGATAATTCTTCTATTATACAGTGGTCAAGAAAAACAAATATATATATATTAGTACCCTTCTTAAATTCAGTGCTGCGACTTCGTTGATCAGCTAGAAGATATGGAGGTGGCCGTTCCAAGACACAACCCTCGCAAGCTTCAATGTTGCTGTTGTATTCCATGTAGTCAACACCTGCAATTGCTAGAGAGCTTCAATCGACATAGCTTATTTTAACAAATATGTCTGGTACTTGTGATTCTATATAAAAAAAAGTATTGCAAAAGTGACGATTCCGAAGAACTCATCAAAGGGGTATTTATATATGAATGCTTTTTATCTTCTCTTCTATTGATTTACGTTCAGAAAAGAGGAAAGCACAGGGGTGTTGCATGAACAAAATTTACATTGTCATACCCGTGATCTTCTTGACGCCATTGTTTTCCCTTTCTAATGAAATTACTCAGAAAGATTCAAAGATCAATGTCTAGGATTTAATGTTAGTCACAAGTGTAACATGCAATACATGTACAATTGAAGAAATATATATTGTATATGTCATGGAGGATATCATAAATCTGGTTGCTGGAATTGAATTGGTAGCTGAAGATGGCAGGAAAAGAAGTTACTTTTGACAATGCATATGTAGTGTATTACGGCATGATTAAACCACTGATCTAACCTTCACCCTCACAACCATCACGATTAGCTCATTACCCACAATAAAATCAAAAACAAAACCCTCACTTGTCATCATTGTCCGTCGCTTACAACCTCATCGGCGGTGACTATGGGATCCATGATTCAGGCGACCATGGAGGAACGGATTGATTGCGCGGGCTTTTTGTGGCGGCGAGGTTGAAAGATTAGCAAGTGTGGATGTGATTGATGTGCGCCGTACGCAGCGGAAATTACTTAGAAAGTTTTTATTTGTTTTAGAAAACAGATCTATGTCCTTAACAACTTTGCTTATTTTATGTTTTAATAATTAAACAGTTAATCACATGCAAATAAAATAATATAGAGTATAAAGTTAGAGATGACACCAGGATTTTAGCGAGGAAACCCCAGTCGATAAAATACGTCAACTGTGATGGGAAAAACCTCGTAGACTGTGCAGTCCAAAGTAAACCAATCCACTATGCTTGAAACAAAGTATACTAAACTTTGACTCTGGCTCACACCCTATCGTTCTACACCACACCAACCACTGAAGATCCTCTGACTTTGCGACTCCTCGTCCAACAGCAACTTGATCTCAGACTGACACTTGATATTTGTAGAAGAGTAGCAGGTAGATCAGACAACACTCTACGAATGCTCCAACCCATTCAAAAGTGTGATTGCATTTACCTTGTATGATCATAATCAGGATTCGAATTCCACAACTCTAACCTAACTAGGTGAATTTGTGTATGTTCTAGGTAGACATTAGAAAAATCAACTTTGATTTTCTGAAAGGGATTTTCTTCCTAAGGCTTTAAAAATAATGAATCTGTATATCAAAAGCCGTGTCATAAACCTTATGTATGACATGGTTTATATAGAGGTTTGCAAAGTCCTATTCCTCTTGAAAATAAAGGAAATTTCGTATATATGACTTAGAAGGATGTTGGATTAAAAAGGTAACAATTAGAACAGGAAACTAAAAGTTCGAATGCTGTCAGGACTTTTGCTACCGGTTCCCACTAGACAGAATCCAACTGAAACTTGAATTTTCTGTAATTTGGTAACTCTGAACATATACCATATAGGTAATTGTGTCCTAAGTGGGAAATGATGTCCTAATGTGTTATTCTTTCCTTTTTGATGATCAATAGTACTTTCCTCTTCTGTTCAATCTCTGAATCTCGCAGTCGATGTCAAGTCTGATATGGTAACTGAAATTACAACTCGACTAGAACTTGTTTTGTTACCGAAATATGCCAATTTACAAAAATATATCTCACAATTGAGCCTCTCTCTATACAGACACATAAATATAGTTCTTCACTGCCAATTTTTATTTTTATTTTTTTGAGAAGCTCATATATATATGTTTGTAGATAGAAAAAGATTGGTAAAGATTTTAGACATAGAAGTAAAGTAAAAATATACCTGGAGGACTGGAAGAGTTTTGTTTCTCTTTGTATTAAGGTTATATAAGTAATTTTGTATCAAAAAGTGAGGGTGCAATGTCTTTGCAACCTATATATCTAAGGGCAATATGACATTTCACTCTAAAAAAAAAACTGACACCAACAAAAACCGGGGGCTAAATGGTATGACAGAGCTAACTTTGAGGGAGGTCGATGTAATATTTGAAACCATGAGGGTATCGAGTGTAATTAGGTCTAACCTAGAAAGAGGTAAGTGATATTATCCCAATTAAAATTTAAAAGTAAAATAAAATAATTTGTAACAATTTTTATTTCCGTGCATTTTAGTGGTAGTATTATTATTATTATATTTATTATTACCTGAGGTCAGCGCATATTTTCGTCATACGAAGATTTTGATTTTAATTTTTACTTACACTCTAATTTACTTTTTGCCTACGAATTGATTCTTTTGTCCTTAATTTTTTAATACAAAATATATATAATTTTAAATAACAAAAAGACCCCTATGTGTGTGTATATATACTATTTGTATACATAGTCCCCGAGACCACCACGTCATTTATGGCCCACCCTAGCAATTCCAAACGCACGCATCAGCACCCTCTCTCTATTCTCCCTGTAAACCAATCCTCGAGGTCAATGATTTCCCCCCACATTGGCGATTAGAATGTTGGCAAAATTCAATCAACAATTATACAAACATATAATTAAATCTATTTTTGTGAGAAAGGATAATACTTGGGTCCAACCTAAGTGAGATGAAGATCATGCAACTTGATGATGTGGCCCATTTAAATTGTGACATATAAAATTAAATTGGGCATTGCCCAATATAACCCATTCTTTTTTTCCTTTTCCTTCTCATCTCTCTTCTAATCTGTGGACTGGGCGGCCAAAGGGGAGGTTGGGTAGTAGAGGACGTGGGAGAGGTCGTCGTGGCTAGAAATTGAGAGGTTTGAGGATAGTAGCGGAACTGACCCTTTGCCGCCACCGGAATTGACCCAAGAGCCCACGAATAGCAGCTCACCGCCCACTCGCCGGCAGGGAAGTTTGGATCCACCAGTCACACGCAACAGCGGCCACCATCTCCGCCGGACTGAACTTCAAGCACAGACCACCATCGCCAGACTAAACTTCGCTGCCCACTCGCCAACACGCGCTCATGCGAATAGATCTAACGCGTTTTCCACGCGCACATGAGCCCCTTCTTCTCCGACGATTGCAATTCAGGCTCCGAGCTTCGATCGTGATCTTCTTCACGCCCTCTGCCCTAAACTCTTTGCCGTCGTCTAGTGCCGGAACTGGTCTGGCCTCCATTGTACAACTGCCGTCGGAGTGGGTGAATATGTTTATGTATGTGATATGTGTTAGTTTTGGTGACCAATGATGGGGAAATGGGTCAGATAATGGCGTGGTGAAATTTGGATTTGCTTAACTTATCTGAGCGAGTATGTTGACAGACCAAGTGAGCAGGCAGAAAGATACGAGGCAGTCGAAAATGGAGGAGTTGAGAGACTGATAAATTGGGGATGAAGAGATGCGAGGCAACGGGTTATACCCGAAAATTGATGGGCAATGCCCAACTTAAATTTATACACGTGTTGTAATGTGATTGAAACACATAGATGAAGTTCATCTAACCAGGTTGGACCAAATATTATCCTTCCTAGGCAGGGAAGGGGGCTAGTTGGCGGGGGCCATGGTCCCCTTAATTTTTTGGAATTTTTTTTAGTATAGGTAAAAATAAAATAGTATAAACATATATAATATAAAATCTATAATTACACCCTTAAGAAAAAAATATATATTTCTTTAATTAACATTTAATAAAAGATAGTTTATATATAATTTAAAAGAAAGTGATTTAATTGACTATTATAAAACCCGATAAAAATTTAATGTGGCTGTCTTAAATTTTCAATTCAAACATCGTTCTTTCCATAACGTGACTATCTTAAAATCCTTCCAATTCAAGCACGTTCCATAATCTTATTATCATAAAATTCCATCTTATACATTATTCTTTCCATCACTTTTTTTTTTCTTTGTTAAATTTTCAATTGTTACTTTTTTTAAAAAAAAGTTATTTTTGTTTTTGTTTTCTCTTCAGTAAATAAAGAGAGTTATTTAATTGAATTTTTTTATAATTTTGGCATAAATCTTATTTGTGTTTGTTCAGAAAGTTTGATAAAATATTTCTTTGAATAACTAGTTTTTTAATTTAAATAAATTAGGAAAAATTTAGATAAATATATTTTTGTATCAATGTAATAAATAGTAAAATATTTTTGCCTATATAATAATTTTTTTTTCCAAAAGTTTCTAACTAGGCAATGTTGTTTTACATGATTCTTTCCATCACTTTTTTTTTTCTTTATTAAATTTTCAATTGTTACTTTTTTTAAAAAAAAAAAAAACAAAAAGTTATTTTTGTTTTTTTTTTTCTTTTCAGTAGATAAATAGAGTTATTTAATTGAATTTTTTTATAATTTTGGCATAAATCTTATTTGTGTTTGTTCAAAAAGTTTGATAAAATATTTCTTTGAATAACTAGTTTTTTTTTTTAATTTAAATAAATTAGAAAAAATTTAGATAAATATATTTTTGTATCAATATAATAAATAGTAAAATATTTTTGCCTATATAATAATTTTTTTTTTCAAAAGTTTCTAGCTAGGTAATGTTGTTTTACATGATTCTTTCCATCACTTTTTTTTTTTCCTTTGTTAAATTTTCAATTGTTACTTTTTGACAAAAAAAAAGTTATTTTTGTTTTTTTTTTTCTTTTCAGTAAGTAAATAAAGAGAGTTATTTAATTGAATTTTTTTATAATTTTAGCATAAATCTTATTTGTGTTTGTTCAGAAAGTTTGATAAAATATTTTTTTGAATAACTAGTTTTTTTAATTTAAATAAATTAGGAAAAATTTAGATAGATATATTTTTGTATCAATATAATAAATAGTAAAATATTTTTGCCTATTTAATAATTTTTTTTTTCAAAAGTTTCTAACCAGTTAATGTTGTTTATAATTTCCCTCCCCCCAATCCCAACCTCAATATCCTGGCTGTGCCCATGGTCTTAGGTAACGCTGGTTAGGATGATAGAGCTAGGGAGTATGGGTTGTTGTTGTTGATGCGGGTATATTGGATTTGTGGTTGTTGTCTCTGGTTTGCTAGGCTAGAGGTGAAGAAATTGGTGCCTATCATGACGTTGATGGTGACAAAGGGTGATCGGCATCAGCGAGATGGGTCTGTGCAGAGGGGAGTGAACATCGCTGATGTGTGAAGTATTTGGCAGTGGATATTCATTTCTCTTCCCGGTATGCTAAGTAGTTTGGTTACAAAAATAATCAATACATCGTCAAAGGGTAACATAGTCATTTAACACTTCAAAAGTATCTTGACCCTACCAAAAATTGACATTAAGAGTGTAAATGAAATGTCAAATCACTAATTCAAATATAAGTAAAATTTAAAACTAAAATCTTTATTTAGTTGAAATATGGCCTAATCTCAGAAAGTGTGAGTGTAATTTCTTCTTCTTCTTCTTCTTATTATTATTATTATTATTATATTAAAATTTTTAAAAGCTAGATTAAACACTTTGACGGGTCTTAAGTAATTTCTTTAATCTTTGAACTCAAATCGGAATTTTTTTAAATAAAATTGGAGGCTAGCTTTAATTTTCTTATAAAAAATCATCATTTATAGTGACGTCAAACTTTAATTTTCCTATACAAAATTGTCTGTAATACGTACTAAATCACGGAGGATAAGTAATTACTGTTAGTGGATTTTTTATATAGAAAAAATATATAAGTAGAATTGATCGGGATCCGGAACAACGCGCCGTATAATAAGGATGCCGTCACTTCGGTTGAGGACTACCCCGGTGATGATTGATGAGTAAGTGATCTATGGGAGTTATAGAATACTGTATATTAAATAACAATGGCATTTTCACTTGCCTCATTTAAATAACAATGGCTTATCTTTCGTTGAATGCAGGGATCATTGATGCTCACCTAGATTAGGTCATAACTATTTCCATCTTCTCAAAGTTAGGCAACTGGTGTTCGCTTCCAAAATTATAGACTTTGGATGGCAACCTCTTGAAGTGTGCAGTTCAAAATTATCTATACACTTTATTATTATTTTACTATAAAACAGAAGGTCAGAGAGATAAAAATGTTCACAAAAATAAAAAGCAAACGTTTTAATGATTCCACACATCATTGACCATACGTTAATATTATGACAGAGAATTTGAAGTGGAGCCTGATCTATTGCACTTTATTTATATATTATTCATTGCAAGTTATAAATTAATACTCCATCAAAACATATATGTATCAAATTTTTGGTTCAATTGTGCGTCCACTGTATTTTGGTGGAGTCTTTTTAACTGTGAGACATCTCATAAACGAATTTCTCTCTTATCCTAAGCCTCAAATCTGTGTGAAGAATGAGCAGATATTGAATGTGTCAGGCACATCATGTTATTAGTGTACCAATTCAATGACAATGCACTATTTAAAAAAAAGTTGGTCCACTTATTTATAAAATTGCTGATAACAAATAATATATGTTATATTTCATTGGTTGAATACACTAATAACATAACTTCTCTGACGCGCCCAATATCTATTTGTAAAGAAACCACCAATAACCGGTAATGAAAAATTGCCTGCATACATAGGAAATATTGCCAACCTTTCACTTGGCTTCATCTCAACTCCAACAAACCATTCATACAATATTCAATGGGATTATTACAGATGAACAGAGGCGCATCCCTAGTTTTAAAATACACTGTATTATTGACTGTATAGCAACTACCTAAACCCAACAGATCATTGCGTAACCATCAAAAACTATACTTCCTATAGATTTTAGATTGGAATAAAAAATCAAATTAGAAAACTTATTTTATTTTTTCTGCAAGTAAATAAGAAAACTTAATTGAAGATTAGATGAGCAATAACACAAAAAATTGTATTTAATCTCTTAGATATTTTAAAATTTAAAAAGATAATTATAAAAAAAAATAGTATATATATAATTTTATTTATTTTTTATTTTTTTATTTTACAAGGTAAGAAGTGTTAGAAGTAGATAAAAAATGTTAGAAGTTAGATTAATAGATTTAGAAAATCGAAGCATGTGATGTTTTCGATAGGAAGAAAGGAGGAGGTGTGGAGAGAAAATAGGATAGATAGAATAAAATTGCTTTATTCGGTTGAGATGATATAAGAAAAGAAAGAAAAATAAGAAGGATAACAAATTTTCATCCGTAAAAAAATGGACGGAAAAAATGACGGAAGACAAGTGAATAATATATAAAAAAAATTAAATTAAATACTATTCTAAATTAAACAAGTTTTAAATTATAATAATATCCTTTAGAAATTACCATATTATATATATTATTTGATATAATAATAATTATAAATTTATTTTTTTCAACAAAAAAAATAAAATACATAATCTCTTCTCCTCTCCCTCTATTCAATTTTTATGAATCTCCAAAATTTGCATCCAATTATTTTGAGATAGCATAAAATGAAATAGTAATCATGAATATAGCTGGGGCTATCACTCTGTATGCTAGCAGAATCTGTAAATACTTTATTATTAGAACATCCGAGTGATTTCACAATGCGAAGCCACGTCATCCTTTAGGAGGTGCCCTCGGTTCTTACAATATAGGAACTTACCTCCACAAATTAATCTCAGAGCTGTCCAAATTAGGGTTAGGGCTTTAACCTTGTAAGGCTCTTTGGAGTAGTAAGATCAAACAATGGTGAAGCCTCGCAAAAAGTTATCTTTATCTGATAAGTGCCCTCAGTTCTTCAAAGTTTTTCTCCCGGGACGGAGCTCTCAACGACTGGTAATTCTTGCCCTCTTTTTCTTTCTTTTCTTTTTTTTTTCGGTGAAAAATCTTGTCCTCTATAACTTACAACTCTTTTGTTGAGTTCTTCAAATTTAGTTTTTAAGGTTGAACTAATTTCAATTTCAATTTGAATGTGCCAATTCAGTACTAAAAAATGTAGTATTTGTTTTTTTTAATTTATTTAGCCTCTGTAGTAGATATTGATCTAGACATATTTTGCTCTGACAAGTACAATGCTACCTTATATCAATCTGTATATCAATCTTCTACCAATTGATAAATTGTATTGCATGTTTCAATTTTTGTATACTTACAGCGAATTCCACCAGCATTCCTTAAGCATTTTGATGGAGTTTTACCTTCCAAGTCTATAATTAGGAGTCTTGCAAGCAGATCGTGGCGGGTTGAAGTGAAAGAAGTTGATAACAATCTGTATTTTGAAAAGGGTTGGCATGAATTTGTGAAAGACAATTCACTAGAGTTCGGAGATTTCCTAGTATTTTGTTATGGTGGTGATTCAATCTTTTTTGTTAAAGTATTTGGTAAAAATGGCTGTCACAAGGAGGATTGCATTCCCACTATGGAAGAAAATCAGATTACTGAAACCGGTGAGTAATTTAAGTTGTTTGTTCTGTTCATCATAAAATTTTACAACCTGTGCCTACTTATCATATATATTTGACATGTATCTCTCTCTCTCTCTCTCTATATATATATATATAATGCAGTGAAGGATGAACATTTGATGCTTGAAAACAATGGCAAGCAGCCAAAAACTAATAGAACTTTACATCGGAGGGGTCTCATGGCTGTTCAAGAGACTGATAAATCTCTGAAACCTCCTGGGAAGTTTCTCTCTTCATTCCCTTCCTTCCAAGTTGTTATGAAGAAAGCTTATGTGGACAAGAGTTTTATGGTAAGCTTATGACTGCTCAAATTCAATATATATATATATATATTCTTAATTTCTTACTACATGAGATGTTGATAGAACAAACTTAGTAACAAAGAAGGGAGATGAGGGACTTCCTCTTGCATTAGGTCACAGATAATTAGTCAGATTTTATATTAGTATTTTTCTAAATGGTATTATTATTAGATACTGATAGCATTAGAAACCAGAATACTTGTATGCAGCATTTACCAATTGGTAAAGTTTTGTGTAACTATCCCTCGGCCATTATTTGGATATGGTGCACTAACAAACATGCCTCAAAACTGGTAACTGTACTACTTGTGAATAAAATTTGTTATCATCATCGTCAATAATCAGGTTTTGATTATACAAATACAAATTTCTACGTTGTGCAAACTTACTTAAAAAAAACCACCTACATTGTGCAGCATATACCATTGAGCTTCGTCATGAGCTACATAAAAAATGGTAGACAGGATGCTATTCTTCGCGTTTCAGCAAAGTCATGGGATGTGAAATTGATTCGTCTTACGAATGGCGTATACAGGATTAGTAAAGGTTGGCGCAGATTTTGTAACGATAACGCACTGCAAGTGGGAGATGTTTGTGTCTTTGAGCTAATTGAGAGAGATGATTTTGTACTGAAAGTCTCTGTTTCGAGATCTATTAATTGAGTGATAGTTTGTTAATTCTATATGTTAATTTCATGAGAACACAATAATATCATCAATTGCATGATGGAGATAGCTAATTTTCAAGAGGTGGGTGAAGCTTCTCTCTATGTATATGCTTCTGTATCAGAAATTTATATGTTCGTTGTGATGTGTTTGATGATCATTCATTGACAGAGGCTAAACTGAAAATTGTATAATCATTGCCCCCACCCTAAGTCAAACAATTTTTTTCAACGGTTGCTGCTCTCACTCTCATGCTTGCCCACTCCCGCATTTAAATTTTGTTGTTTTCTCACTCCCGCTATGTGTGACGTAGCCCACTGCAAGAAGGTGATTAACATAATTTTGAATAGTTTCAGTGAGTTTGGATGCCTTTTACTCATTCAAGTAAAGAAGGAAAGGAGAGAATTTTTGAAGACATGCTTGTGCTCTTTTGGTAACCATAGATAGAACTCAGCTGAATCAACAATTGTTACACAGCCCCAGGGTTGTGTGTGTATATTATAATTTATACAGGTGTGTTAAGCTTTTTGAGCATAGACACCTTAGAACACGCATGATATATTCCATATTCAATTTGGCATCTTTGGCAAAAATCAGAGTAGTTAGGTGGATAATTGCAGAGGTTAATCCACATAAAATTTTGCCAATTCAATTTTACTATATTTGAGTAATGCCACTCAAGCTAACAAAGTAGGCCAACTAAACAATGAAATACTATAACCAATAGGCAAATTCATGCATGTTTTACATGATATATATACTCGTATTTATATAGGCATGTGATATATATAATCACGGGTGCAGATGTAAACTGCAGAGAGATCACGTACTGTCAGAGAAATAGAGAGGAGATACGGTGAGAGAGATCTGTCCGGAAAGAAGCAAAGGGTTTTTTTGTCTCTTAGTTTTTATTTATTTTTAGTTGTTGGTAGGAAAAGAATGGCTATTCCAAGAAGATGAATTGTCATTTCAACTTCTTCTTGGAATGACTGAATTCCTTGAAATGGCCATTTCGCATTTAAAAAGTACACCAAACAAGGTGGAATGACTTTTCCATTCCAGTCCAGCTTGCCAAACTAGGGATAAGTACAAAATACTCAAAACTTAACTATTTATTCTTAGAGCTATATGACCTTGACGTCCACAAAGTAATGAGGCAGTATCCAAATTAGTGTAGGTATTTTGGAGTAAGATCAAACAATGGTGAAACCTCCCAAAAAGTTCTCTTTCTCTGACAAGTCCCCTCAGTTCTTCAAAGTTTTTATCCCAGAACAGAGCTCTCAACGACTGGTAATTCTCCTCTTTGCTCTATAACTAGTAACTCTTTTGTTGGGTTTGGGATCTTAAAATTGAAATATATTCCCATGACCAATTGTATTGAATGTTTCAATTTTTGTATTCTTATAGCAAATTCCACCAGCGTTCCTTAAGCATTTCGATGGAGTTTTACCCTCCAAGTCTATAATTAGAAGTCATGCAAGCAGATCGTGGCCGGTTGAAATGAGAGAGGTTGATAACAATCTGTATTTTGAAAAGGGTTGGCATGAATTTGTGGAAGACAGTTCACTAGAGTTTGGAGATTTCCTAGTATTTTGTTATGGTGGTGATTCAATCTTTTTTGTTCAAGCATATGGGAAAAATGGCTGTCACAAGGAGGTTTGCATTCCCACTAGGAAGAAATCAATTGCATTTGTGCAAAAAAATCAGAAAAAAGAACCCAGTGAGTAATTTACATAAAATTTATGTTCATCATAAAATTTTACAACGTGTCTGCTTATCATATATAATTGACATATATATATGTGTGTGTGTGTGTGTGTGTGTGTGTGTGTGTGTGTAATGCAGTGAAGGAAGAACAGTTGATGGTTGAAGACAATGGCAAGCAGCAAAAAACTAGTAGGACTTCACGTGGGAGGGGTCTCTTGACTGTTCAAGAGAATGATAAAGCTCTGAAACCTCCTGGGAAGTTTGTGTCTTCATACCCTTCCTTTGAAGTTGTTATAATGTCAGCTTATCTGGAAAATAGATATATGGTAAGCTTATGATTGCTCAAATTCAACAATGTATATGTTGGATTATACTCCTTCAGATGTTGGTAGATTAAAATGAGTAACAAAAGAAGTGAGATGAGGGACTTCCTCTGCATTATTTGGATATGGTACACTGACAAATATGCCTCAAAACTAATAACTGTATGTACAAAGACTTGTGCATTAAATTTGTTGTAATCATTGTCAATAATCAGGTTTCATAATTTCTGCATTGTGCGAACTTACCAAAAGTAAACTTGTACATTGTGCAGCATGTACCAACGAGGTTTGTCAAGAGCTACATGAAACAGGGTAGACGGGATGTTATTCTTCGTGTTTCGGCAAAGTCGTGGGATGTGAAATTTATTAGCTATATGAATAGTCACAAGTTCAGTAAAGGTTGGGGCGAATTTTGCAAGGACAACACACTGCAAGTCGGAGATTCTTGTGTCTTCGAGCTGGTTGAGAGAGAGGATTTTGTGCTGAAAGTTTCCGTTTTTAGATATCTTAATTGAGTGAAGAAGATTTGATAACTAATGTTCAAGAGGCTGGTCAAGCTTCTCTCTATGTATATGCTTTTGTATCTGAAAGTTCTCTGGTCTTTATGTATGATGTGTTTGAAGAATGTGAAAAGGGTAATTTTGATTAGATTGGGTAAGTTTGGACACTTTTTTATTCATTCAACTACAAGAAGGAATGGAGATCATTCTTGAAGCATTGCAATTTGGCATATGTTTCAGCTCATTTGCTAACCCCTGAGATGGAAAAACTCTGAATTCAGTTGATCAAATTGCTTCACAATCCCTGGTTTGTGTGTGTATTTATACAGGGCAGAGCCAGAAATTTTCAATTGGGGGCTGAAGTAGTAATTTAAAATTTAAATTTAAAAATAAAATAAAATAATTTGAAACAATTTTTATTTCGGTGCATTTTTTGATGTACATTTTAAAAGCATATATTTTTATGTCATGAGAAAATTAAGTGGGGGGAATATTAGTTAACCTCCAATAAATGAGGTTGCAAATTGTCAGATATATATATATATTTTTTCTCACTTTAAATCATAACAAATAATATACATATATATATATATAAACACACACACAGATTATCTAATTTGTTTTGCAAGGATTATATAACACTTTATTATTATTATTATTATTATTATTATTATATTTGAATTTTTAAAGGCAAGACTAAAGACTCTGAAGGGTCTTCAGTAATTTCTTTAATCTTTTAACACAAATGCGAATTATACAAAATTGGAGACTAGCTTTAATTCTCTTATAAAAAATCTTCATTTATAGTGGTGTCAAACTTCAACTTTCCTATACAAAATAGTCATTAATAATTATACGTAGTAAGTAATAAAAAAATAAAAATAAAAAAAATAAAAAAAAAATAAAAAATGATCGGGATCCGGAGCGACGTGCCGTGTAACAAGGATGCGATCGCTTCGGTTGAGGACACCCGGATGATGAGTTATAGAATACTGTGTGTATATAGATGTGCAGCTCAATATTTTATTATAAAACAGAAGGTAAGAGAGAAAATTGTTGGCAAAAATAAAAAGCAAAGATTTTAAGGATTTTAATTAATTATAAATTATAAATACTCCATCAAAATATATATATCAACTTTTTGATTATATTGTAGGTTTACTGCATTTTGGTGGTGGAATCTTTATAACTATCAGTTGTAGGGTGAACTACATTAAATCCCCTTTTTCTATCTGTGTTTTTCACTAAACTTTCCTTTTTTATTTTTTTTTTTATCAAAAAACACCCCTCAACTATTAGAGGGAGTGATTTAACTAACTTCCATTAAGTAACTATTAGAGGGGGGTGATTTAATTCTTATATATATATATACACCAAATAAATTTCAAGAAAAAAAAATCTAGATTTATATTGGCAAAAAAAAAAAAAAAAATTAGGCATTATTTCTGGTAGTGTCCCTTTAATAAATCTATATAAAATGAAAATCAATAAAAACCAAATAAATGAATGCGCAATATAATTCTCAAATATATATATATATATAGCAAATAAATTTCAAGAAAAAAAAAACCTAGATTTATATTGAAAAAAAAACCAATGCAACAACATGTACTATTCTTCTTGTTCAACTTCTTTTATTAACCCATCATTATAATATTATATATAATTTGTATCATAATATAATGCTATATATAATATGTATTATTAAATATTATTTAAATATATTTTCATTTCCATCTAGCCTTCGTACCAATATAAATTTTGGTTTTTTATTTTTTTATTTAGGAAAAAAATCTAGGTTTTTTTTTTTTTTTTTGAAATTTATTTGCTATATATATATATATATATATATATATATATATATATATATATATATATATTTGAGAATTATATTGTACATTCATTTATTTGGTTTTTATTAATTTTTAATAATGCCTAATTTTTTTTTTCCAATATAAATCTATGTTTTTTTTTCTTGAAATTTATTTGATATATGTGTGTGTGTGTATATATATATATACACAGTAGTGTTCAATTGCTCCTTGGGAGGAAGAAATTATATACTCACTTTTAATTATAACCTTAGGATCTAATCCAATGGCAATTAGTTAATTTACTTTTATTATCTTTATTTTAAGAAACTTATATTTTCTTTTCAAACCATTATATATCATAAAAGAAAAATGACAGAATTAGACAATTTATTAAAGGAAACAAGAATAAAATAATTTGGTTACTTTTTGCCCAATTCACAAGCAACCACTAAGATGAAGTAAAATTAATCTAAAATTAAAAGTCATCATTTTTTGTTTTTTTCCATACTTTATCAATTCTATTGATAAATTATGAAAAAACTTAGGATTTGCAATGATATTATACATATTTTGAATGCTTTTACCGATCATATATATATATATATATATATATATATATTTGAGAATTAAATCACTTCTCTCTAATAGTTAGTTAAATCACCCCCTTCTAATAGTTGAGGGAATTTTTTTGACAAAAAAATAGAAAAGGGGGGTTTAGTGAAAAACACAAATAGAAAATAGGGGTTTAATGTAATTCACCCTCAGTTGTATTACGTCATCATTGCAACTATTGTAATGAATAATTTCTTTCGAGGGACATTTATATGAATAATTTCTTTCAAGGGACATTTATATATATACATGTGTTTTAAACTTTTTGAGCAGGGACACCAAAGATTAGACACTTCGTGGACGAATTAATGTTTTATTCTAAGCCTCAAATCTGTGTGAAGGAGGAATAGATATTGGATGTGCCAGGCCCGCCATGTTTATTAATGTACCAATCTAATGACAATGCATTATTTAAAAAAAAAAATTGATTCACTTACTTATAAAATTGATGATAATAGATAATATGTTATATTTTATTAAAAAGATACACTAACATAGACCACCTGGCTAACGCACCCAATATCTATTTGTAAAGAAACAAACCAACAACTGCCAATGAAAAATTGCCTCAATACATAGAAAACATTGCCAAGCTTTCACTTGGCTTCGGCTCAACTCCAGCAAACTTTCAGAACCCATTAATACAATATTCAACGGGATTATTACAGATGAACAGAGGCGCATCACTGGTGTTACAATACTCACTGTAAAACAACCACCTAAACCCAACAGAGCATTGCGGAACCATCAAATAAACTTTCTATATAGATTTTAAATTGGAATAAAAAATCAAATTAGAAAACTTATTTTATTTTTTCTGCAAGTAAATTAGAAAACTTAATCGAAGGTTATACAAGCAAAAACATAAAAAAAAAAATGTATTTAGTCTCTTAGATATTTTAAAATTTAAAAGAGTAATTATGAAAAAATAAAATATTTTTTTATTATTTTGACTTGTCGACAATTAATTTGAGATACTATAAAATAAAATAGTAAATTATTATTATAGACCATAACAACAAAATATTAGTGGCCGGGACTATCACTCTGAAAATACTTTATTATTAGAACATTCGAGTGATTTCACGATACGAACCACGTCATCCTTTTGGAGGTGCCCTTGGTTCTTACAAAATAGGAACTTACCTCCACTAATTAATCTAAGAGCTGTCCAAATTAGGGTTAAGGGCTTTAACCTTGTAAGGAGTAAGATCAAACAATGGTGAAACCTCGCAAAAAGTTATCTTTATCTGATAAGTGCCCTCAGTTCTTCAAAGTTTTTCTCCCGGAACGGAGCTCTCAACGACTGGTAATTCTTGCCCTTTTTTTTTTTTTTTTTCGGTGAAAAAGTCTTGCCCTCTATACTTACAACTCTTTTGTTGAGCTCTTCAAATTTAGTTTTTAAGTTTGAACTAATTTCAATTTCAATTTGAATGTGCCAATTCAGTACTCAAAAATGCAGTATTTGTTTTTTTTTTTTAATTTATTTAGCCTCTGTAGTAGATATTGATCTAGTCATATTTTGCTCTGACAAGTACAATGCTAACTTATATCAATCCTCTACCGTGACCAATTGTATTGAAGGTTTCAATTTGTGTATTCTTATAGCAAATTCCACCAGCGTTCGTTGAGCATTTTAATGGAGTTTTACCCTCCAAGTCTATAATTAGGAGTCATGCAAGAAGATCGTGGAGGGTTGAAGTGAGAGAGGTTGATAAGAATGTGTATTTTGGAAAGGGTTGGCATGAATTTGTGGAAGACAATTCACTAGAGTTTGGAGATTTCCTAGTATTTTGTTATGGTGGAGATTCAATCTTTTTTGTTAAAGTATATGGTATAAATGGCTGTCAAAAGGAGGTTTGCATTCCCACCAGGAAGAATCGAAAATCATTTCCAATTGTGCATGAAAATCAGAAAAATGAACCCAGTGAGTAATTTAAGTTGTTTGTTTCTGTTCATCATAAAATTTTACAACTTGTGCCTACTTATCATATATATTTGACATATATATCTATCTATCTATATATATATATAATGCAGTGAAGGATGAACAGTTGATACTTGAAGACAATGGCAAGCAGCAAGAAACTAATAAGACTTTACGTCCGAGAGGTCTCAAGGCTGTTCAAGAGAATGATAAATCTCTGAAACCTCCTGGGAAGTTTCTCTCTTCATACCCTTTCTTCCAAGTTGTTACGACGAAAGCTTATGTGGAATGGAGTTATATGGTAAAGCTTCTGACTGCTCAAATTCAACAAATATATATTTATATAAATACACACACTACCCAAAAAAAAAAGAGAAAATTACATATTCATGGAGTCAAAGTTCCATATTTACTTAGAGACTGAGTCAAAGTTTCATATTTCTCTAAAATGGATTGCTGAGGTGGCACATGGTTTTTTACTGTTTAGAAAATTGTGGTGCCTAAAATGCCCTTCCCTAACAAAAAAGTAGTACCTTCAGTGCAAAAAAGTAGTACCTTCAGTTCAAAAAAGTAGTACCTTCGGAGAAAAAGTAGTACCTTCGCGGGTGTTTAAAAAACATGGTACCTGGACGCCAAAAAGTAGTACCTTCAGTTCAAAAAAGTAGTACCTTCGAAGAAAAAGTAGTACCTTCGTGGAAGGGTATTTTAGGCACCACAATTTCTAAACAGTAAAAAATCATGTGCCACCTCAGCAATCCATTTTAGAGAAATATGGAACTTTGACTCAGTCTCTAAGTAAATATGAAACTTTGACTCCATTTATATGTAATTTTCCCAAAAAAAAAAGTGCAATAAACACTCTGCTATTTTTTTTTTTTAATAAAAACTTCAAAACCCCCTTAATAAAATTTGTGCATTTAAGTTTTTTTTTTTTTTTTTTTTTTTTTAAACTTTGTTTTGAGGGCATTCTATGTATTCCAGTCTTAAAATTGAGAAAATGTATTTATTTGCTCAATTTGTCTGTACACTTGGATTAGGCCACATATAATTAGTCAGATTTTCGTTTTCTTAATGGGTAGGATTTGCAAACTGTGATCGGCTTGCTTAATAATTATATTAGTGTGACATTATTTTTCTAAATGATATTATTAGATACTGACAGCATAAAAACCAGAAGACATATATGCATTTACCAATTGGTAAAGTTTGTTTAACTATCCCTCGGCAAACATGCCTCAAAACTGAAAACTTGTACATAACACTTGTGCATAAAATTTGTTATCATCATCATTGTCAACAATCAGGTTTCATGGTTATACTACTACAAACTTGTACATTGTGCAGCATATACCGAGGAGCTTCGTCAAAAGCTACATGAAAAAGGGTGGACGGAAAGCTACTCTTCGTGCTTCAGCAAAGTCATGGAATGTGAAATTGATTGGCTATACGAAGCGCGAATACAGGCTTGGTGACGGTTGGCGCACATTTTGCAAGGATAACGCACTGCAAGTCGGAGACTCTTGTGTGTTTGAGCTAATTGAGAGAGATGGTCTTGTGCTGAAAGTTTCTGTTTTTAGGTCTCTTAAATGAGTGTTCATCTCTTACTGAGGCCGGTCAAGCTTCTCTCTGTGTATATGCTTTTGTATCTGAAGGTCCATATAATGTGTTCATTGACAAAGGCTGAAGTGTAATCATGCCCCTACCATAATGAACGTGACAAAGGGTAATTTTGAATAGCTTCAGGGAGTTTGGACACCTTTTGCTGATTCAGGTAAAGAAAGGAAGGGAGAGATTTCCTGATGCATTGCAATTCTGACATGCTTGACCTCATTTTGTAACCACTGAGATGGAAAAACTGTGGACTCAGTTGATGAACAATTGTAAGTTGTAACACAGCCCCAGGTTTGTGTTTGTGTTTTGTGTGTGAATAAATATATATATGTGTGTGTGTGTGTGTCAAGCTTTTTGAGCAGACACCTTAGAACACTTGTGAAATATTCCATATCAATTTGACGTCTGTGGCAAAAATGAGAGCAAAATTACTTACGGAATTGAAGCAGTCTAATTAGGTGGATAATAGCAGAGGTCAATCCGTATAGCATTTTGCTAATTCAATTATAATTGAGTAACGCTACCCAAGCCTACATGGTACGCCGACTAAACAATGAAATATAACCCATAGACAAATTCAAGTAGATTCCATATTACAACTTTGTTTTCACATTGATAAGCGGTCGAGTTTTTCAGCATTTTCCATTATATTTTATCAAACTAATTGAAAATTGTTACAGGGATCTAAAAGCTGGAAAGCATTTTTTTTGGGACTTTTAGAGCATCTGAGACCCATTCTAGCGAGAATGGGCAAATTTTGATTTTTCAATTAAAAAAAAAAAAAAAACCGCCACTAACTGATTTTTCAAAAACAAAAGGGGGCAACAGTCCTAAGGCCCTGTTTGATTGACCAGTTGCCCTCAAAACCCCTTTTTTCACTTTGTGTCTGTGTGTGTATGTTTTTTAAAAAATAAAAATAAAAAATCAGTAAATAAATAATATAGTCCTTAGGCACTGTTTGGGTTATACCAACAGTGCCTAAGGACTATATTGGCCTACAAAAATAAAAAAACCTTTTCTTTTTTTTTAATACCTAAAAAACAGTTTTTTTTTCACTTTTTTTTTCTTCTTTTTGTTTCTCCACATTGTTGTTTTTTTTTTTTTTTTTTACACAAAATCAATAAATAAATAATATTGTCATTAGGCATTGTTTGGCTGACCCAAATAGTGCCTAAGGACTATACTGGTATTCAAAATAATTTTTTTTTTTTTTTATTTTTTTACCTAAAAACAATTATTTTTCACTTTTTTTTCCCTTCATTTAAATATGCCTATGTAGCTGACGATGGCTTCCCTCCCAGTAACGATGAATGTATTGCTTCTTACAGACTTGAAAGACTTCTTCTATTATCTCTGGCCTCACACAATGCAAAAGTTGCTGAGCATAATCGAGATTCCATTGAATCAACGCGTTAATAGAGCCATTTGATGAGATGGATGATGAAGAAGATGAAGATTTTGAGCCTAGTAAGGAAAAGTTTGTGATGACGAAGTCATTGAAATTTCAAGATTGAAAAAATTTGATAATGATATTTTGCTACAATGAAATAGATGAATGTAACAATGATTCTCAAATAATGAGCAAATAAGTTATTATATAAGATAAAAAAAATATAGTCGTTACAATACAGTCGTTATAAATATAGCCATTAGTGATATATATATATATATATATATATATATATATATATATTAAAAAAATATCATTTCTAGAGAGCGAAAATTCGGAGAGGCTGCTACAGCGCCAAAATGTAGAGAGCAGAAGATGCATACGCAGGGTTGGCACTGAGATTCTCAAAATTTTGAGAGGCCCTAGACAAACTTTCAAATGCAAGGCCTTCATATATAAGGTTTCACCCCGCACAAAAAAATTTATAAAAATACGAAATTTTCATTAAAAAGAACAGTAAACACCTAGAGTAGCTCGAAATAATTTGGTGACTTAGGTGAAATTTTTTTTATTGAAGTACAAATTTTTTATGAAAATGAACAATAAGCATCAAGGTTGTCATATTTGAGTAATGCTTCTCAAACCTAAAAATTAGGATTGACTAAACAATGAAACCAATAGACAAATTCATGTAGGTACCACTTTGTTTTCACATTGATAAGTGGCCAAGTTTTTCGAAATTTTCCATTATATTTTATCAAACTAATTGAAAATTATTACAGAAGATCTAGAAACAGAGAATGAATGTTCAATGGTTAATTGGGATTTTTTGGAATAGAATTACCTATAATACCAAGAGATCAAAGGCTGCAGTCCCGATCATGGGTTGCCTTTATACCATCAGACTTTTATTTTTATTTTTCATTTTTTTTTCAACAGTAAAAGTTGTAGTTCTCAAGTGTGATAAATTCAAGTTGGAATATATTTGATGGTAGACATTTTTGCCTTATTTTATTTTAGGATTTATAATAATATTAAGAGTTAAATGTTATTGAGTCCGAAAATATTTTGATCTTATCTAATACATTTAAGAAATAAAAATTTCAAAATATACGCTATCTTAAGTGTCCTCTATCAACAAGTCACTATCTCTTTTGTTCAGGGAGAAGGATTTGAAAGGCCACAACGTAAGTTGAGTGCTATGCTGTCAAAATACTGACCACATAATAATAATACACATGGAAACTCTAATAAGTCTAAGCAGATAAATTACAAGATTGGACATAGTAGTATGTGATAATGTGTGTGAATGGGTGAAATAATTAAAGTAGATGAAAATTCTTTGTCTATATAATGAATTCACTATGCCTTTATACCACCACCTACTAATATGGTGAGTACGTGCAGTTCAAAAAATTAATTGAAAAGTGGATCAATATTTTCAACAAAATTATCTTTTTGGTATACCTAACGTCTTTCATTGCTTTGCTTTGTGCAACATGTATATATTTATGTACCGTATATATTTATATATGTATGTATGTATATATCAGCATTTTTCATGATTATATAGTCTAGTGATCTCATTCTCTCTATTCTTCAAAAGGCATATTTTGAAATCTAGCAGCTGAGATCAAGGGCGAGCCTAATTCCATTATTTTTTGAGTTGGTTCAAATAATATTTAATTAATTGTCCTTCATATTTTTTGTTTTTTTCTTTGATCAATTCAACCAAACAGGACCTAATCATTCTTTCCACTTGTCACCACCCCCCTTTGACTACTGTACCATTGCTGATCTCACAAGATTATCAAAAGTCCAAATTACAACATTTCCTTCAACCGTGAAAGCGTTGCTTGAAGTGTCGAATGCACCAAGAAGATTCAATTGAGAGAGGACTTTGTTGATACAAAAACTTTTATACATTTAGTTCGTTTCACATCAGGTAGGTCAGTGTTCATTAAAAATACTACCACGTCATCGTATTTTACCAATTACAAGAACCAAAAATAAATAAATAAATCATTGATCATCTCAAATCTTAGTGTCGATTTTTAAAGTTCAGAAAATATTATTCAGAGGTTCAATTTTTCCACAACATATTATTTCCAAGGACTTTTACGTTTGTTGATTCCAATGATTTTAAAAAAACGAACGTATAGTATTTTTTTTTTTTTTTTATCTCCCTCTCATTTTGGATTTATTTGTTATAGTAACAATTCAAAAAATGTTCTAATTAATTAAGATACTTCATGACAAATATTTTTTTTTGTAGACAGGATGGGTTCTGTACAGGCAGGGGCAGAGGGAAGGGGTTTGAAATTTTTTTTTTAGTATAGGTAAAAATAAAATATATAATATATATAGTATAAAATTTATACTTGGCCCCCTAAGAAAAAAAAATTTATTTCTTTAATTAAAATTTAACAAAAGATAATTTATATAGTGGTTTAATTAACAACTATAGAATCCCGATAAAAATTAATTCACATAAAAATTTAATGTGTCTATCTTAAAGTTTCAACTCAAATATAGTTTTTTCCATAATGTGACAATCACGATTCTTTCCATAACCTTATTATTCTAAAATTTCATCTCATACATGATTCTTTCCATCACTTTTTTTTCTTCTTTTTATTCATTTTTATTGAAATGCTTTTATAAGAATTTTATAAGAAATTAATTTTTACAAAATCAAGAACAAAAATTTCATTTGAAGTTTTAAATATGAACAAAAATCGATGATTTAAGAATCTAAATTTTTATTTTATTAATTTGTTTGTGTTTTTATTTTATTTTATTTTATTTTTTATCATTGTTATTGTTTTGTTAAATTTTCAATTGTTACATTTTTTTTAAAGTTATTTTTGTTTTTTTTTCCTTTTCGGTAAATAAAGAGAGTTATTTAATTGAATTTTTTTATAATTTTGGCATAAATCTTATTTGTGTTTGTTCAGAAAGTTTGATAATTTTTTTTTTTTTAAATAACTAGTTTTTTTTTAATTTAAATAAATTAAAAAAAGTTTAAATAGATATATTTTTATATGAATATAATAAATAATAAAATATTTTTACCTACGTAATATATATATTTTTTTCTAAAGTTCTAGTTAGATAATGTTGTTTATAATTTTGGCCCCCCCATCTCAAAATCCTGACTCCGCCCCTGTGGACAGGAAGGTGGAGATCACTCACTCTACAAGAGTGAGGTTTATATGCTAAAGAATAATTTTCAACATTTTTTTTATGCATGGTATGTCATGTATATATACTTTTTTCGTTCTAATATAATTATTCACTTTGTAAACTGTGACTTTATATATGGAGTAAATCACTTTTGGCATGAGAATTTTGCCATTGATCAAATACAGCGAATGTGTAAATGACCTTAAAAACATATGGAGTGAGGTACGAATATTTAGATTCAAATCGAAGAACTTATGCTGCCAGCCATGAGCCATTCATTTTGAATGGTATAACTACTGGATTGAACGGGCAATGGTTTTCCTCTCTGGCCGAAAGTTTTTTTTTTTTTTTTTTCTATACGTTAAGTAAAAATATAAAATAAAATAAAAAGAAAGGTGACATCCTGATGCATACAAACTTTGAAATTTGGATAATCTCTAAATCTCAACTGTCATTTATGAATTGTCAAATGAATCAGCAAAACATTAACAAGTTTCATTGCTTCTAGGTATAAGGTAAGCTGTCCTATTCTTCACATGCAAAATCAATAACAATAACTATATCCAGGAAAAAATAAAATAAAAAATAAAAAAACACAATAACTATTAACCTTTTCCTTTATATATATATATATTTGATCATTCAAAACTCCAGGACAAATATATGAAAAAAAACAGCTAAAAAATTTACATCCATCCACTGACTAAATTGATCTTAATTTCTACAAGAAATTAATCAATTAAATTCAAAAAAAAAATCTAAATGTAAACTCTTCAAACTTTGTTACACAATTCATAGACAGGTGATCTTCCTCGATCTTCTCTACCATTTTTTATACTCACCCATTCTGCTACCTTGAGACGAAACACTCTGATAAGAGGGTAACCTTTGCGGCTTAGACGAATAAGAGGGTGACCTCTTCGCCGTAGACAACCCTTCGTCGTGAAATCGTAGTTGTGTTTGCACCAGATTTATCATTTGTGATGACACTCTCCATATCTTCACCGACTTATCCAAACTCCCACTATACACCACCCACGAGCTCCCATCGTCACCTCCGCCACCCGAACTATCCTCTTGCTCCACCGCCAAACACTTCACCGGCCCGGTGTGACCCGTCAACACCGACACGCACGTGTGATCCTCCCCCTCCCTCCTCCAAACGCATATCTTCGAATCTGCAGATCCACTGAACACCATATTCCCGGCCGTAGCCAAACACAGCACTGCCAGCTTGTGACCCCTCAACACACCGCCATGAGAGAGCAGCTTCTCACTCTCCCAGAAATTCACAAGCCCGTCCGACGAGCCGCAGTAGATTACCGTCGGATTAACGGCCAACGCTGTCACGGCACATTCTTGTTTTAAGAGTGTTTGTGAGAAGAAGTGTTTGGTTCCTTTACCATGTAACTCTCGCCGCCACACTTTCACCGTCCCGTCCGCCGATCCGGTGAACACCAACCCGAATCCGGCGACCACGGAGTTAACGGCGTCGTCGTGTGCATTGATTGATTCAAGACATTTTGAGTCTGATATTCTCCAAACTTTCAAGGTTTTGTCCCAAGAAGAAGAATACAAAAGGGTTTGGTCTTCGCTCAAGCTCAGACATGAAATGGCGTCAAAATGCTTGATCCACACCGCATTATGGTTCCGTCTCGTTTCGACGTAATTGCTCGGCTTCATCGAGCTTTTTATGTAAGCTTTCATGGTGGGTAGAGTCCCGACTCGCTTGTGAACGGTTGCATTCTTGTTGGAAGCTTTCCAGACACGGATCTTCCCGTCTTGGTGACCGGTAAAGATTCGTTCGCCGGAGATGACAATGGCCTTAACCAATCCACTATTCGATTTGAACCCAGAAAATTCCTTCTGATTCTTCCACACTCGGACATTCTTGCTGTCCGACCCGGTGTATAACAAGTCGCCGGAGGCAGCGAGAGAGTATATGTGGCCTTCTTCGCGGACGAGCGAGCCCATGAGGCCGGTGTAAGCATAAGAATCGTTGCCGGAGCCGGTGAAGGGGTTGGAGGACCACGGGGACTTGTTAAATGGGGATGTTTGGTTCCATGAAGGAGTATAAGGTGAATTGTCTGCATTTTCAGGCGAAAGAGGAGGAAGGTAGTCTTGATCATTAGCAGGAGTTGCTTCGGAGGATTTTGTGATCCGAAATAAATGATCTTCATTATTGTTTGGATCGGACTGCAAAAAGTTGCCGAATTTTTGTCGCTGTGAATTAGTACTGGTGTTTATTTCTGTGACCATCTTGGATCTTCTTGAATTTCTCATAATTGTCTTCTCTCATGAAACACACAAAATTTATATGTATATATAAAAATGTGATTGGTTGGGAAAAAATTATGTAAAAAATAAAGATGGAATAAAGAGGTAGCTTAGATGCTAAGAAAACCGAAAGCAGATGAACAAAGAGATGGAACTAGAAAGAGAGGACACGGGTAGGCAAAAGACTCAAAAGGCTGAAGAAGAAGAGGTATTTATATGTGTGTATATATATAGTCCTATATATATATAAGGTAGATAAATGGTCGGCCGTTTAAGATGTTGACTGGTCCAGAATGGGACTTCTCAGGGGAGGGGAAGACGTAACGGTGACGAAATATATATGTACGCTTCCTAAAACTTGGTATGATTGCAGTAACTGCTTATTTACTCACCCTTAACAAAAATAAAAAATGGTACTTAAATTTATGTAGTAATTAGTAAAAAAAAATTCCCTGATTGCTTGAAAATTATATTATGGTACTCAATTTTGGAACCCTTAGATGTAATATAAAGATGACCCTTGCTCACACGTGAACGCATATGATCGAGACAACATGATGATATTATCATATAAGGTTCATCTTGTTTTGTGTTATTAGTAAATTATTGTATTTTTTGTGGGTATATTGACTAAAAATATTTATAATTCTGATTCACAAAAGCATCATTTCTTTAGCTTTAAAATTAAGGTTGTGCCCTCAGAGGTTGAAAATGTGTGTGAAAATGGGAATAGATCGACAAGTATTCATAATGGCTAGCTATATTCGGTAAATTCCTAGTTATGATTCATGAAGCGGAAGGGGTGGGAAGATGTGAGGCCTTAGACGGATTTGACTTTTCCTGGTGGAAGATCAGTGGATTGACTTTTAATTTTGGTCCATGTAGGGTGTGAACGTGGTCACATAATTTACATTAGTCAATGGATGGGTTGCGTTGTGTTTGTGGACCTTGATTTTTTCATTTCTAATGGAAATATGTTAACCTAACTCTGCTGAATTCACCAAGGGTACGTTGTATGAGGATAAGAACAACCATATACCTTTCGAATTGGAAAGGGATTTGTGAGTAGGAGTTTGAATTTCAGACATCACTGAATTTAAATAATATATTATTATTTAAATTCATAATATTTAATACTTCATAATAATAATAATATAATAATAATGATGCATTCCTTTCATATGTCTCATTAGAGCATTTTCAATGACCTATCAAATGAGCTCTCAAAATATAGCATGTGGATGAAAATAAAGCTCTCTAATGACCTCTCAAAATACTTCTCATATTTTGAGATTCTCAAATATAACAATTCTTAATTGCCTCTCAAATTAAAAATATAGCAAGTGGATGAAACTAGGCACTCCAATAGACTCTTTCAAAAGACCTCTCATATTTTGAGATTGTCAAAAGTTGTTTAAATGAAGATAAGGCATTCCAATTGGCTCTCAAACACATGGAATTGTATCAAAAAATAACATTTTGGATGAAATGCACTATTGGAGTAGAATTGCAAAAATATAACATTTTGCATTAGAGATGCTCTTAGAAACTACTTGCACCAAATTAAGATTTATGGAAATTATACAAAATTTCCCTCTACTTTCAATTTATGGCAGTTGTAAATTCCCTCAGAAAAAAAGTTGTCATACCTTACTCATTCAATTCGTTGTAAAGTGATGTTATTATGACGAAAATGTCCCTTAATATAAATTTAAGAAAATGATTTCTCTTAATATAAGATTAAAATTAATATAAAAAACTCATTTAGCGTTGTGGTATTAAAAATATTTCAAAACTTGTTTCAATGGTGTATCTATAAGAAAATGAAAATACCTTGTAACAAATTAAAAAAAAAATTCTTTTTTTTAAAAAATAAAAATAAAAATAAAAAAGAAAACCTAAAATGAAAATCATTTTAAGACAACCTAATGCCTAATGGTGTGTATTTTTTAAATTTTTCTTAAAGTGTTATTTTTAAAAAAAATTAAAAGGAAATTTTTTTAAAAAATAATGTTTTTTAATTTATATTAAAGGGCATTTATATCATTATAACATCATTTTGCAACAAATTAGATACTTACAGAGTTTTATGTCAACTTTTTTCTTGAGGAATTTTTTTTTTTTTTTTTGTCAAAAATTAAAAGTAAAGAGGGGTTTTATGTTATTTGCCCTAAGATTTAAATGTTTTTATTATGTGATTCAATTTGAAAGGGTCTGTCTAATTGTAACATCTATAGTGGGTGCTGGATATGATTTCATGAGCAATTTTTAAGTGGGGTATATTTAAATGTGAAAAATGGTTAACAAATAACTCTTAAAATATTTCTTTTAAAAACCCTCTTTTTTGATGATTTTGTCAAAAGTTCAAAACACTGTCTATGGAGTTGGTCTTCCCTCTTTCCTCTCATTCATCTTTGTTTCTTTACTTTTAAAATGAAACAGGAGATAAAATTGGGATTCTGTAGCCATAGACTTTAATTTTTAAGTGTGGACAATGTGAAATTGAACAAGATAAATAGCAAAAGGTATGTTTGCCGTGCAAGAATTGAAATCCATACTAAAATTTAAGTCTACAACGCTATTGGGCTTGAAATTATCTAATTTCTTTTGATTCAATTTAAGAACCAATTTTTTACTACCAAACATATATAACTTGAATATTGAAAAAAGGAAAATGAAGAAGGAAAAAACAAAACAAAAAAGCCTATCCTCTTGAAGCGAGAATACCCCGACCCAAGTAACAAAAAACTAAACAAAGTTGTGTTATAAATTTTTTATATATTGAGTCATATATTTTGTATTTTTTACTTTTACTAGTATACTATAGTGAAATAAAGGTATGAATCATATTTTGTAATGTTTATTGTCATTTGAATAGTATTGAAGTGTTTTAAAAAAAAAAGGTCAAAATCAGAAGCATAAAAATGATGTTTTTATTTGCTTCCGCATTGTAACAAAAATACTGCTAATATATATTTTTTCTTTTTAAAATGACATTTTTAACTGTCATTTAATTTTTCAAACTTGTAACACTTTTTTCCAAAAATACTTTCATGTTTTTGCTTCAAAGAATTTTGCAACTAATTTAGCTTACCAAACTTCGAAATAGTATTGAACGGCCTTAGTTATTTGGATAAATTAACTATGTCATATGTTTTTTTAACTAAAATGACATATTGCCTAACTACATAAAAATACATTGCGAGTAAGATGATAATTTGTGCTTTTTTTTTTCTTTTTCTTTTTTTTTAAATGGTAAATCAAATGCACATACTCTTTTTGTCCCACGCCGAACTGAATCACTCCATTCTCTTGAGGATGAAAAGATTATACCATTAGGTCAAAAGCCATATTTGATAATAATTTGTAATTTTGTTGTAAAAATATCATTATTTGACTACACGCATACAGCCCAACTAGTGGAGCTCGTTTACATAATTAGGGCTAAGTGTAAAAAACACCCCTGAAGTATGTTTTTCAAAGCACTTTTACCCCCTATTTAAAAAGGTGTGTAAACAACACCCCTATTCTTTTCAATTTATTCGAAAACACCCCTCAATTAATATAATATCCATTTTACCCTTTTACTCTTTCAAAAATACCCCTACCAAACCTTACTTCTTATTCTTCTTCTTCTTTGTGTGTAACCCTTATCCGTCACCGTGACTACCATGGCCGCCGACACCACCAATCCTCTCATCTCTCTCTAACCTTCCACCACTGCCACCCACAATCGGCACCTCCACCATTACCACACACAATTGACACCTCCACCACGAAATCCCTAAATCTAAGAACGAATCATAACCAAATCAAAATGTGTAGACAAAACTAAAAACGAATCAGCCATCACCGCAACTGAAATTTGCAAACACAGAAAATTTTAAAGAGAGGCATAAAAAAATGGAAGACCTAACGCTGGACCGCCATTGTCAACGCCGCCAGTAGTCCTTGACAACACTTTCGACGTCTCCTTTTCCATCATCGTCTTTTGATTTGATGGCAGAATTGGCTGAATTCCAACTCCCAGCAGCGGCGCTCCTCCGCGTACTGCTCAATCATCCTCGTTGTGGCTGCCCAGGATCTCTTCACCATGATGGGTCGCTTCCCGCCGTCGTCTCCTACGCTTCCTCTTCGAAATGTGGCATTACCAGATGAAGCAAATGCTATGGTATCTCTTGTCTTGCGTGCTCCCCGTACGTCTCAAGCTCTTACTCAAGCTGTTGAGAGAGGTTAACCGGGAAGAGTAATCAGCTCCTTTCCATCGTAGTGAACCAGATACCAAAAAAGGGCCGGGCCTAATTTGCTTATCTTATTTATGACATGGAGATCATTTTCACTCTTCTCATCGGAGGTGTCAATTCCAGAAGTTCAATCAAATGAGGATAGAATTTGATCCAATCCTAGGGAACATTCCAATTTCATTCAATTTGCGCCAGTGTTGGTGGTGGTGGTGTGTATATCTATACTATTATTAAATGTGCAAAGTGTTTCAGTGTTTCAGTATTTCAGTATTTATTTATTAATTGATATAAATTCTATAACACTCAAAATTATCTAATAAAATTAAAATTAATTCAAATTAACAAAATATAAAAAGAGTTTAATTCAAATTACAAAGTCTCACATTGGTTTTAAGTAAAAAGAATTACATGAAAGCTTCTTATAAAACTATAGAGCTAAAAAAATAATAATCACACCTTCTCGGCCTTTTGGCTAAGATCAAGTGTAGTACTAAATATTTTTGGGTCGGCCTTTTGACTAACATTTCTTCATCTTTTGGCTAAGATTAAGTGCTACTTTCTCGTGGCTTTTGTGTAAAGAGTTTCAGTATTTATTTATTAATTGATATAAATTCTATAAAACTCAAAATTACCGAATAAAATTCAAATTAACAAAATATGAAAAGAGTTTAATTCACAATAAAGAGCTCTCATTAATTATTATATCCCATGATATAAATTCTATAAAACTCAAAATTACCTAATAAAATTAAAATTCAATCTATAATCAATTGTGCTTAACCAAATGGTTCATAAATTAACCTATTTATCTATTTATTATTATGAATTTTTTAATAAAAGAAAATTTAATTAGACAAAAATTATGAATATAAAAATATTTATTAATTGATATATAAAACAAAATAATTTTT